TGTGGCTTAACTGGCGTCGGCCGTTCCTCTATAATTTGGGGCTTCTTCCCCACCGATTTCTCCTTCTAGCGAGCTACAGTCGCCACTAGCCTTGCTTCCTGCACAGGACGTCCTCTCGCCGCAGCTCTTCTACTCTCCGTGCTGCTATACTCTTCCAGAATCAACATCCTGGCCTTCATCTTCGACCTGGCTCGAAAGTCTGGTGATCGCATCTCGACGGAAGCCGCACGTCGTAACCGATACTCTGCTACGGCTGCCTCATCGATTCTTTGTTTCTTCTTCGGATGTGAGTCTTGCCGGCCTTTCGACCGCTTTCTACTCTGCTGGAGCGAGTCCCGCGGTTCGCCCTCAAGATCCGAGTTGACCTCGTTGGTCAGCACCACTTCTTCTCCTTCTCGTAATGGAAAGGCTTCAATCTCTGCGGGAGTCAATATTGTCATACCCCTGTAGAATTAATCAATATTGGAAACAAATAGCAAGCGGACCCTCCGTGAATCAGACCGATGTGTTGTCGGGTGGCTGTTTAGAAGATACGCGTCCAATGGATACAATCCATTCTCAATGCTCTCTTGATGAACCCTACCTGCCAAGTCATCATATAGGTAGGGCGAGACGGACGATGAATCTGCATCAACGCCATTGCGATATTCCGCCTCATTCGGTCACGATACCACACTGTGCGGTAACCATTCTTCCAAGTGCAGGGGTGCTTGAACACGGCGACATAAGTCCTTTCCTCCTCTCTTGTCACTCGAACACTCTCGCTATCGAATGTAAGATCAAATGTAAGATTTGCCAGGTATCAGGATAGCCTCGATAGCCCTGAGGCTTCGGCAACCCATTGTTATCCCACTCCTGAATTATCGCATCGCTCGTCCAATTCCATACATCATACATCGCTGACATGCTTTACTCACAACTCACACATACATACACAAAGAACGAGAGTGTCCACACACAAAGGGGCGAGTTGCTCCAGCATGGACGACAAAGAGAGTTCTCCAAATGACATTCCAAGAACGTGGTAACAAAATTTCATAACATCTATTGTTTCGATTCTCCAACCTTGACCGCGTGAAACTTTCCCCGCATCATGCACACCTACAACCTTTACACCACCTTCACTCGTATCTTCTACATATCATTTTGACTTTTGTCCAAAATAGCTAATCTCATGGTTTGAGTGCTCTCTTTTCTTGTTCATTGATGTTCTACGCGTGCCTAGTACAGAATCCCGAGTGTCTTCAGTAATTAAATTCGACTGCCATGATAGAGCAACCCCTTCTGTCTAGCAGTTTTAGCTCGACTCAGATCTTGATATGTCTATCTGATCGTGTCTTGACTTCTCACCGTGCTTGCTAAGTACGCCTTCAATTCTCTTAACTGAATATACGGTCAAGCACAGTCACAAGAATAAAGCGAGAAACTTCTCTTCAGTCTGAAGAACCAGCCTCGGTATCACACTTTCACTAATGATAAATATCATTTCCTCACGCATCTTGACTCAAGCTTCCTAATCATATTACATTCACTTATTAGTGTCTCCTCTTGGTCCAAGCAGCACTTTTGAGGTCAACCCATAGCTTATTATAAACTTCATCAGCTTCTCATTATCTCGTCTTTTCTAAATCGATGCAGTCCTCTTGCCTATGCTTTTGGCAAGAAACGCAAAAACCTGCACGCTCTACTACCTCCATAACCCACAATCCCTCAACATCCACAGGGCTATCAATATCACTCTACTCAATGAACTTCAAACGTGAGATGCAAATAAGGGGCGGCCGCACTCAAGCCATCACGATACAAGGAGGGGGTGAAATGGATATAAGCCGATGCGACCTGGCAAAAGCGCAGCAAGATTCCAGCTCAACAAGGCAATTTCCTTTGCACTTATGCGCGAGCTCACTGCGTCTACAGCCCACCTTCACCCTCGAGGCTTTGATCCAAGCCGATTATCGCAGATCATGACGAGCTACATGATATGCAAAACATGATAATTTAGACCGAATTCCAGCCTTGCTTGCATAAATCCGCACCCTGTAAGGAAAACCTTGTCTCAAGTTTCTTGAACAACTCTGGGCTTCCCCCTTTTCATTCGCTCCATCTTTATATTGTAATCTCTACTGACTGCGTTGGAACACAACTCTGAGAGAGAAATGATGGGAACACTTTGCACTGAGAAAACCACGAAGAGAAAACTGAGAAAAGCACGAACAAAAATCTCAAGAAAACCACGGAAAGAAATCTGAGAAAACACGAGAAAAAAATCTAAACACATTGCACTGACATATTCACATTGTCAATTCTTTGAGTAAAATGTCGAAACACAAATACACCTTCAAAATTCAAGACTATCTTTCAACCCTCTGTCTCTTTTAGCCTTTTGAAAGGGCCTCCCGGCGGTTAATCAAAAGAAAAAGACCTTGGCCTAGATGCCGAGGTCTTTTTCTTTTGAGTCGAGCCAAACTCACTACACTTAGGTAGAATAAGAGTCAAAGCTAATGGGAAGAATCCCGACACCTAAGGCTCAACTTAGGTGTCGGGATTCTTGCCCTTGCCTATACTCTCGATCGAGAGCCATCCAACCTACGCTCCTCGAACGTTAGCCGAATTCCACCGTCACCCGACTCAAACTCAAATCCAACGTTTCGAGCCATGGCAACACCCCGCCGTCGCAACGCTTTCCCATTCGTGTGAATTGAAGGTGCCGCCATTCAAATTCTTTCCCGTGCTGCACTATCTTTTACGTCTGCGGGTGTCCTTCGCCGTGCATGTAACCACGAAGCTCCGAGGTACTCATTCGTGAACGTTGAGTAGCCTCTCTTGAGTACCTGTCTAGGTACTCAGAGTAACCAAGTCTTTTTTCTTCCCGATCTGTCCTTCCGGAATTGGACCTCGCTGACCTCCTAAAGGCCATCGCTCCGGCTGACATTACCTAAGGGTTCTAACTACTACCTTCTCTCCACCGTAACAGAACTATTCTATTCTAATCTAATTTCTTTCACCCTAAAAGTAAAATACACCCTCAATTTCCCAACCTACTATATTCTATTTCCAAAAAAAAAAACCAAAAAACTGGCCTGTCACATTCAAACACAAGAATTTTTGATACTTGCCCTAAATAACCATATGAAATTTTGAACTAAATAAATTTAATAATCAATTTTTGAATCAAATTATGCAACTTATCCGAGATGCATACTTAAAACGTTTGTGTACTTAATTGGGAGGTTATCACAAAGTTTCTAGTGAAATTTAATTCTTTGACAATGCAATGCCCAACTTTTCTTGACTAAACTTGGTAATGGTGGAACGGTTTAGGGTTTAGGGTAAAAATCTATCAAATAAAATATTGGTTCATGGCTTTGAGATAATGCATAAAACGAGAAGAGCATCTTTTAACAATGTGGGATGAATTGACATCCAGTATCATCTTCTGAGATATGATATTGTTAATGAATAGCTTGTTGACTGGGGTTGGTTCGAGCAACGGCATAAAGACACAAGTCGCATCAAAAACAAAAAATCAATACAAACGATTGAACTAATTGACCGCGTGATATATATATATATAGCTCAATATACTACAGACTAATTATTTTAGTAGACATTGTGCTTTTTTATTAAACTTTACTATCAAACTTGTTAGATTTATATGCTGGATTAATTTATGATATTTTGGCAACATTTAATTTTTTCATTATTTATTTGTGCTAAATTTAAAATTTTTAGTTTTAGATTGCATGTACGTTGAATTCCAATTTAGAAATTCGCATGTTGATTGTATAGTTCGGGTAACATGATTGAAAACAGATATTGTTAAGATTTATCTTCTGATTTGACATAACTTTTGTCAGTTTACACATGATTATATAAGAGAGTGGTGACAGGTGTTAGTGACACAAGTAAAATTTTCTTTCCCACAATAAACTCGGAGATGACTTATGTAAATTGTTTGTGATATTTGTTTCGTGACCATGTACTAATTTAATCTACATATTTTGACAATATTAGCAGACCATGCTAGGAGGAACGCAGGTGAAAGTAATTAGTATGTTCATCCTCTCGATTAAAATCTGCGAAAATAAGAGTTACTTGTAACGCATCTTCCGTGAGGTACTGCACTTAAAAATCCAATAATATTTTGTCAAAATACTTAAGATCAATCGTGATCGAAGTCCATGCTTTTTCGAAAACTCAACATTCCATTTACTGATAAAAACAATTGCATGACATTAGCAATGTTGAGACTATTTACGATCCAAATTCATCCATTTTCAGTGATAACAAAACCTATCGGTATGAATTGATTGGTCACTGCCTTCAGACCAAAATGGGGAGTTACACACCATAAATCTAGCGGGAATGACGCATCAGTACCACACAGGTCAAGAATGGCGTAGTGAGTAGAAGCTTGAAGAAAAACTTCCGTCAAAGGCCACTCAATTACTTTCGAATAGCAACGCTATTTCCCAAACAGCGACCAAAAAAGGTTCAACTATCAACCAACTGAAGCAAAAGCACCGTGAGAAGATCAACAAGAAAACACTTCTATAGTCTGAGCACACGATAAGGGAAGTTCTCGTTTACGCGGAAGTTTGATTCACTTCGGAGCTTGTATACCTGTCAAGGCGCAGCCCCAGGCCTAAGTGTTGTTACTATATACGGATAAAATCATCGACGATGAATTGCCATTTGGGCACTCATATATGAGTATCGAAATATGACACACAATACGTTGCACGTCACATAAGACTACTGGGATTCTCTTGCTGCATGGCGACTCCCTACAAACCGTACCTAATCGCTAAAATCCTTGAAAACCTTTTGTTGAATTTCCAAGTAAGAGGACTACATAAAACCTGTCAGTATGATCGTGATGTGTCTAACTTATCCGTTGACAAAATCCCACAAAGATTATCATCTCTACATTCTATCCAGGCAAAAACACTCACATAACGAAAACCTTTAAAAAGTGACAAACCAATGAAAAGAGTAAGGTTCCTCTAACATAAAGGCCCATACAGATTTCCTCATAACGAACTTCCAATTAACAGAATACAACTCACCAGAGATTCGGCTGCTAAGGGCTCATTGCTCTCCAATCTTGCAAGTGGCCATGCACAAAATTCCGTCTAGCATCAAGTACTAGCAAGAGAATGCATTACAGAAGTTATTTTGAAGCCATGTAAGACCAGCGAGAAATCACGGAACCACCTTACATCGATCTCGTGCTGTGAACTTACTCCCAAACTCACAGGTTTTCCTGATATGATATTTGCTTGTAAGAAGGCGTGTTGACTACCAAAACTGTGTTCAACTTTTAACCTAAAAAAGGCTTTTTATTACACTGTGGCAAGCTTTGAGAAAGCAAGACGTATGGTCGACCCATTGAAGAGACTCGCGTGCTTGCAGACGAGGGCCTCTGTAGACTGCTCTTCCGCATCGAAAAGTACAAGAGCCTGCTTCTTTCCATTGGACTCAAACACTTTCGCGTTGATGATGTTTCCATGAGCAGCAAGATGTGAAGTAATATCATCCACAGTAACGTCTGAGGGGAGGCTGGATACATGGATCATCTTCGTTGGTGCGCAACAATAACGGTAGTTTTTAGCAGCATTGCGATTAAACCGGTTGAGGTTAGAACCAGAATAATCATGTGTATCAGGTGATGGATTAATCTGCGAGTGTTTCGAGAAATTAACCTCCATGCGCTTCCCAAAAAGCGTTACACCCTGTGACGTCAGAACAGCCATTTAGTATCTGATTATTATTTCATGTGGCATAATCCTACTCCAATCAACTACAAAGAAATATATGAGGGTTCACGGAAATCTCACCCTTAAATAATTAACAGCTAGCTCTGCTTGAAAACCATCTCCCATCTGAATCAGAGCATGGTCTGGCTTGTTGTGCAAGAGCTTGATCCGCATAATGTTTCCATAATTCGAAAACAAGTTGAAAAGCTTGTCCGCATCCACTTTCTGAAAAAAAAGACGAATTTAAAACACATGGGAAAACTTAATAAAACAAAACAATACCACCATCCAACATTTCGTTAACAGCGTATTTTCTAGAAAACATTTGGAGAAAGAACTAATGCCACATTCTACCTCTGGATTTAGGTTGGAGACGAGAAGAGTACTCCTCTCGTTAGTACCAGTAATCCCCGGTGGCAGTACGCCACCAAAAACGGCGGCGGCTGCAGAGGCACCAACCATGGGAACATGCTGCAACAAGAGATTGACACGTCAGTTGTCCGACCATGCTCAAAAAAACTCAACCAGAATAATAGAAATTTCAAAGCTCTTCTAACTACGGCAGCAATGTCGGCGGTTGGTCTGTGCTGCAAGGAAAGACTAACATCTCAATTGGCCGATCACTCTCTAAAACCCCAGTAGAAAGATGAGGTATTCACAGCTTTTCTGAAATCAAGAAACATCAGCCGCTGGTCCAATCTACCTGATATGAATTCATGTTGTTCATATTGTTCATGTTCATATTCATCGGTTGAGGAGGACCCACTGATTGTTGGAAGTTAACTGAAGACATGACAAAACAAAGTGCAGTGCGAGAAGCCTCAGTGCAGTCAGTTCCAGAACAAACATGATTCAATTGGGAGATTGATAATAACAAAGGCATTCCGGCAGTGACATGTTTGAACAATAGACAACTCATCGTTTGAAATTGTACCCAGAAAGTGTTGAGTTTCTTTGAGAAAAATTGGGATTCTTTGCAATGGGTGATGACTGTATGCAATTTTGCTTATTCCACAAACTCAAATCTGACTAAGAAGTGGAACATTCTTTCAACTTCTGATTTTCTTTCGTATACATGTGCTATGATTGCCCACTGCAACCAAAAGTCTCAGTTGACGCAACTGGAAATCTTGGATGGACAGTTGCATTGCAAAGATGGAACAGGAAAGAGTTTTTGTTAAGCTTAAAAAAAGATAAACATCAACTCCTTTTTGTAGAAGACCACTGGGGGATCATGCACTTCAAATACATACTGATTAAGGTGTGTTGGCATTATTCTCATTCAACATAATGATGAGGGAAGAAAGACCTTGTGATACCCTGCTTATTCTTTCCCAGATTTCCACTGTGTGATCCCTAGAAACAAGAATGCCTGACAGTTATCTGCACTATGACACACTTGGAAGACTCTGAAACTACGGAAACAAATTCGAGACTAAAAACAAGTCTCAAATTATTAGTCATGCTCCACATAGATAAGATCAAGGTGGATCAAATCATATACGACTCAGATGGTTGACATCTAAACTTGATTACAAAATGATAAAGAAGAGATTGTGCAGGGTTGCCATGCACATGAAATCTCAAGTATGACTTGCTAACAAAAGAAAGAGATAGGAAGGTGCATAGCATTCAAGAGAAATAAAAGTGAGCAACAAATAAGGACAACTTTAGTTCTCCAACCCACACCCATTCAACGATGTGGTAACACGATAGCCAACTCTAGAGATCTCAAATGTACGAGATCGGCTCACAATAACAGATAGAGTTTTCTCAAACTACAGAAACATTCATTTCGACCTTCTACATGGCTGACACTCAATACAGGGTATCAGACAAGAAGTAAGAAATAGCGTGGTCAAGGAATGATCTAGGACACTAACCTTGCCTGGGCGGTCCTGTCATATCAAAAAGACCAGGTCTAGGAGGGCCTTGAGGCTGCATGCCGTAAACATTACCGCCTTCTCCAAAGAGAGAGGACTGCAGCAAGGAAAACCCCTATTAGAAAAACAAACCGCACACACAGCAGATCCATCAGCAGGTGAATATATAGAATGTAGTAAATAGATACGGACAAGGTAGATTCTCAATACAAAAGGTTTATATCTCTTTAGGGAGAATAACTCCACAAACTACAACATAAAACTACACATTAAAAGTCAAAGAGCTAAAGTCATTTGAGTCAACTCCATAAACGGAAAAGACGAAAACCACAGAGGAAAGGAGCATTGCTATTCTTTCTAAATGGATTTAAAGAACGTCAACGCAATTTCTGTTGTATTCTACTACACCAACAGCACTATGAATTCTCCACAATCCAGTTTCTCCATATTCACTAAGCACTGAACAGTTGACATACCATGATATTGTTATTTGGAGCATTTCCAACTGGTCGAGATTGTTGCTCAGACGGTAAACCAGTATTGGTGTAATCCCTACATGACAGAACCAAAAACAAACGTTTATCGCAGGTCCGAAGGAATCTAGGTGTTTAACAAGAACACCCATTGACGCAGAAATAATATGCAAGAATTACCTTGTCCGCTCGTTGTTGTAGTTAACCTGTAGCTCTTGGAGGCTGAGACACACACATAAATCGTCTCAGGAAAGAACCATGCATCCAGTGCTTAGACAAAATAACTTGTACGACGTGTTTCAAGGAGGTAAAAACAATGACATGTTTAGATGAAAAAAACAACAGTCTTACTTGGAGAATTGGATGTCTAAAGTGCAACAGCCGTCGTATATATTACGGCCCTGCAAAACATGACTATCCACTGTTACAATAACCGAAGTAAATGCCCCAAGGTGTAGAACATGGTCCTATACGGTACGACAAGCAAAGCCCAGTATCGAGAGGCATCCACGTGGCAGAAAAATAACCTGGAGAGTGTTTCTTGCTTGAATGGCACTTTGTTGCAGTGAAAACTGCAGAAGTGCTTGTAATCCTGTAGACCAAACAATAAGGCCCACTTTAGATTGAACCAGCCACTGCTGAGGGGGGACTACGACCTATTCAACTTAGAGAGTCTAACAGAGAATGAAGACAAATGAGAAACCCTATTCCATACTACTTCTCCTCGCCCCATGAATCCAAATAAGCTACGCACACTACCACATGACCGCACAAAATCTCTTTCTGGAACTTTCTGATCTTATTGGACCCTAGTGCTTGAGTAAGACAACTAAGAGCAGAGCATCTAAAATCACCCGAGCAATCACCTTGGAACTCAGAAGGTGAGAGAAAAAGACTCAGAAGCATGAAAGGAGACGAAAGAGAAGCTGACCAGCTGACTTCTGGAAGGTGACGATCTTCTCGACATAGCCATGGGGGGAAAACACTTGGTGCAGCACATCCACGGTGATAGGATAGAGCGGATTGTGAATGGTAATTAAGAGAATTCGGTTGGGCTGCAGTTCCTGAAGAAGGCCCGCAACGAAACCAGCAAAGATGGAGCCAGGACGTTGGAGAAAGAGAGGACCGAAGTAAGAGAAAGCAAGCAGAAAGGTCACGAAGATAAAGCAAAAGAGAAGAAGAAGCGGACAAAGCCCTCCAGTGATGTAATAAAGTTAGGCAAAAAGATGCCCGGAGGCAAAAATTTATCAAAGATGGTGGAAAAGAAGCAAATCAACCTAGAAGCTGGGAGCACTAGTGTTTCAGGGTTTAGCGCGTAAGCGAACCTGATCTGCAGTAGGTCGCCTTAGCTGACCGGGTTGATCCATAGTCGTCAACTCTTGGTGTGAAGAAAACTGCATGTACACATTTCTTCCCCTACGTGACCAGTAACACAGAAGATTCAGCACCTATCTCAGAAGTGTGAAATCTAGTCGCAGAGATAATACACTTTGAGTGACAACCATCCAGACTCTCCTCTGAAGGCAAAAGCACGTATGCTTCCAAGCTCGAGATAGGAAGGCCATGTCAAAAACATACCTGACACTGGGCTGTACAGTAGAATAATATTGCATGACACTGATAGCTGAGGGTATGTCTTGCATCTGAAGTAAGGCCTGCATAGAGCCGACATACACAAGCTGAGAAGATGTCTTGAGAAAACATTACACGATGCACACCATGTCTGAGAACTGTGTGAAAATCCCCGATAAAAAGCTAACGCCAAAACGACACATAAGCGTCACCACAACTTAACGGAGAAGAATGCACTAGGTACCTGGTTCTTCGCGCGAAGCATCACAACTTTTTGAACGACTCCAAAAGATTGAGCAAGTTGTAAAAGGTCGTGCTGGAAACAGACACAAGTAGAGATTACTTTAGAAAACGTAGCTCCAGTACATTCACAAAAGCTTTGAGAAATGTCGATGCTATCTTCAAACACGTCTTCATCACTCGTCAAGTTTTTCTGTCCTTACGAAGTTGACTTCTTTGACTTCTAGTAAACAAACGCATCACTTCGTATCCGAAGGTGCATGCCATCGTTAGTCCTGTGCGGCTTTATTTGCTCCAAATTATTTGCTACCGTCAATTTGTCCTTCAATTTGCTTTCAGCTTCCCTAGCTGGCTTTTTTATATTCTACAGCATCAATCACTTCATGTCCTAAGGTGTCAATTTGTCCTTCATCGTGTACGAGTTTATTTACAAAAAACTTCCCAAGGCATCCTAGACAGTATGCGTGACCAAACAAGCCCGAACAGAGGCGTATTTGCAATCTCCACGAAGAAAGTACTAAAGAAAGCGGATGGCTTGAGGGGCTCCGATTACCAAAAACACACCCTCTGACTTGTAGTTCCAAGTCAGAGGGCTCAAAGTAAATAATATCGAGCGGTAATAAAAACTCCAAGACGAGGAAACTACCAATTTGATTCTCTCTTGCCACAGAAAAAAGTAGAAAAATTATCATCGGAAATGTATTAACGTCGACAAACGTGTCTTGTACAGTTGGACCATCATCACCACGGATGGGCCTAGAAGTGGCCGAAATAAATACAATGTGCGGTTCTAATTGCAAAGTGGGCACAGGTTTCACTATTTTCTGAGGAGAACCAGTGAGCTAACTCCGAGCTGCGACCACAATAATGAGTAGATAGATTGCGAAGTGTCTATTCAGACAAGTTTGTGAAGAGCTTAGACAAAAGCGCTTCTTTCCTATATTCCTCCTTGCGGTTGAAATACGAAGAGCGTATGCGGCATCATACGCTACTTTCCCAACAAGCACATTTGCAACATGCAGGGCAGTCAGGAGCCCACGGAGATGAACTTTCACAAAAAAAACTGAGAGCTACGCTGTGCATACCCAGCTTTGATATAGGAATAAGATCTGTTAGTTAGTTCGTGCTCTGAATGATCAAGTATGATGTAAAGTTTGGTTGACAGGAGAAGAAAGATCGAACCATTCTGTAATAACCTGATAAAACACATTGTTTTCAAAGCTCATCCCTATCTGGAACATTTAACATCAACTAAATGCGACCTGGAAACGAACAGTAGATTCTCGAGTAACCAAACGGTATCCTGACGGAGATTCGTTGCGAAAAAATTCAATTTCGCCATGAACAACATAGAGAAGTAGTGAGAAAGAAATTCCAGTAAGATATCACACCTCAGTGATTTCGGGGCCAACGTTGCGTACGTGTAGTACCTTCGATGGTTCTGTCATCTTACAAGTTCCTACCTTACCTGCATAAAATCATCATTGAAGAATTCAATCATTGATCCAAACGGCTCTGACGGAAGACTCCACATTTGTTAGGTCTTGACAGTCAGATCTCGACCCCTATAATATATACTTCAAGATGAGTACAGATTAAGCAGACACATTCATACATTTAGACAGATCAGAACCCCGAAGGTACGAGGATTACCAGAGGATACCGAAGAACAAATAATCTGCTTGTGCATGCAAGTGCGAAATTGAAAAGTGCGATGTTCGACAGATACTGATGACCAAACACACGAAATGTCGAAATTCAACTGGTAAGACCTGATTCGGAACATGATAAGACATGGTAGTGCGTGTAAAGAGATGCGTCATCAAAAACTCAACGCGAAGCGTGTACAAAGGTGGATATTCACCTACTCAAACAGGAAACGATGCGAACTTGGTAGTACACAATTTCCTCACTGCCAGTGAAGGAAAAAGCTGGAGGCGAAAGGCTCCAAATTGGGCACTAATAAACTGCTGTTCAGTTATGAATGTCCTAATGTGTAACTGTTACTGCCGGCACAAGAATGGCGGGTTGGGAAGAAAAGGAACGAGAGGAGGCGGAGCCCTGCAATCAGAGCAGGCGCCGAACTTGGATTGATGAGAACAGAAACTTGGTAATCTCAAGTATTCAGATGGGAACGGGAAATTGTCTTGTGCGTGCGACGAAGAGAAGAGAAAAAATGGATGGAACGCAGGAAATCGTTCGAAATATTAGTTCAAAGAAAGAGAGACCTGGCAGGCAAAGAGAGAGGATGGAAGGAATCATGCAAGATTGAAGAAGAAAGATCGATTGACAGGAGATGAGCGATCGAGAGAGAGAGAGAACTCGACAGACGAGTAACAACCCGTCCAGAAGAAAAGGAGCAGTGCAGAGAGGAGGAAGAAGAAGAAAAAGACCTCCGACAAGTGATCAACACAGGAAGAACGAACGACAAACCGTATTTTCTGACTGGGCGAACAAACGAGAAGAAGCGGAAGAGAGATAGAAAGTCTGTCTGCCTATGAATGAAGTTCGTTCGCTCCTTGGCCTGGCCGGGAAGGGATGGTGGGACTGAAAAGGTGGAAGAAAAAAATGCCTACCAGCCAGCCGGCACCGGAAGAATGGAAGAGCGGAGAGAGGAGGAAAGGAAGTGATGAGAGAGAGAGGGAGAGAGAAAGAGAGAAGAGAAAGAGAGAGGGGGAGGAGGAGGGGGAAGAGAAGTGCACGGACTACAGACCAGACACAAATAGAGATAGAAAAAGCAGAGAAGCGGAGATAGGAGGACAAAGCGGAGTAGTGGGGAAGGACAGGAGGTGAGGGGAGGGGAGGCGATAGATTAGGTTTCTTCTCCTTCTTCGTCGTGTGAAGGAGCGACGAATGAGCTCACGAACTCAGCAAAATTGTGTGCGAGGGAGAAGAGTGAGACAGACGCGATCGGGGATGGGATGGGTCGGGGCGGGGCGGGTTCGATGGGGAGGGAGGGAGCAGGGACGCAGCAAACCAAAGGAGCAGAAAATCGTGAGGGAGGATGGCGAGGGCAACGAACGGAGGCGGCAAAACCACCGCAGCGGACTGAGCCTTACCCACGCGGACCGTAAGATGGCCCTCGCATCCACGGCTCCCACGCCCGGTGCTAGCTGTACCGTTGAAAATGGCCTGCGAACCCCTAACTACACTTACTGGCCCGCAAGGCCAGTGCGATAATAGTCCCGCTTCCTCTTCCGCCCACGAAAACAGGTGAAGAGGAGAGCGCTCCTAACCTCATGACTACTGAATCCACTTCATGCCCTCCGGCATCCCCCACCCCCGTTTCACATTCAACGCATGAGCTCTTCCACCTCTCGCCCCAAGCATCATTGCTCTTGCTCTGCTGCTCCCGACTCATTACTGTTCTAGTGTGATGAAAGTGATCATTACCTTCTTTTCTCATAAGTCCATTACTCGTCCGGACCCTGGTTGTATATATAACTTTATGCCCCTCTCCTCGCACTTCAGTACAGATCTCACTGTCGTTCTGTCTGCTCAAGTCTAAATTGGGGTGGCTTCATTCTAAAATACGCAATACCCTTCTGGTTCCAAGTATTGGTGCATCGAGATTCCTACTGTGTGAAGATTTAATTTGGATCTGACTGTGCACACTATTCGCGTGGGCAGCTCACAAATTTCGTACGATCTCTCTTCACATCGCAAAATTATAACTTGGGCATGGAGAGAGAAAATATTATCTGCCCGTTTCCAGTGTCTCCATGCACAAATATATCAGAGCTGAAAATACATCCCTGAATTACTTTCATCCTCAGTGATGGGGTGTACACTCCAAGTCCACGGAGCAAGCGAAGCTGAGTGGAGAGCACTCGACGTATTTTCTCTTAAATCAATAGCAAAGATGTGAAGGCCCATCAAGAATTACACGGATGAAAGCAAAGGAGCACTTTACAGGGAAACCCCGCATCACTCAAGCCTATCCGGTTTCCTCTCTTTACTGGCCAGAGAGTGTGCTTGCCATGGCGTCGCAGCTTTGACCCGATGGACTCACTCGAGGACATGGAGAATACATACGTCGCGTGGAAGGTTTAGATGACGACAAGATCCAGAGAACTTCCTCGGGTCAAAGAAAAATTAACCAAAGCATTCACTACGATATGCAGTGTAAAGACTTGAAAGGCCAGATGTTCCATGAAACGTGACAAAGTTTATTTGCTGAAATATCCAACAGCACCACAGTGACGGCCGAGGCCAAATATCTGTGCTATTAAGCACATTTCTTTAGCTCCTAATGCTCCACAGCTTGAACGAATATCTATTTGAGCATGCAAGCATGGTACCATCCACAACAAGTTTAAACTTTCAGTTCAATCTCCGACGTTGGTAAAGATATCTAGGCTTGTCCACGGTACAGAGTGGTGTTTAATCGGTTAACCACCAATTAAACATCTATACTCTCTAACATGTTTCAATCTTCCATGAAATCGGTTAATCTGACGTCATTTTGTCATCCGAGACTAATGTATATTTCATAAATGATTTAGGGTGTTTTTACAAGTGGGTAGTATTGTGGATGTGTTTCCTCTTAGAGTAATTCATAGCCTTCATAATGAATTCAATCGAACTCTGATGGTCTTGAACTAAGAGGTTTCAACGTTGATGTTACGATCAACGATAATGTTTTGGAACTGATGAAGAGTAATCAATGATTACTCTTCATCAGTCTGATCTCATGCTGATCTCATGTCTGCCAAACCGCCGCAAATTCTAATTTCCAAATTCCATCCATTATTGCAATCAGTTAAGCAGTCAAAAAGTAGCAGCATGGCTGACATCATCATCGTTACCAATTTGAAATCATACTCATCATGCAGTATTCGGAAAAAGTTTGTTGTTGTCCTCAGCCAAAGAGTGACAAAGGAAGTCACAACGTGAACGTAGTTTTTTTATGTCTTCCATCACATCATCTCCCCAAAATACTCTCGATTCCGCAGAGGAGCTGACCAGATTGTTGTCAACATAATCCCATGGAACAAGAACCTCAAATTCCATCATTCTCACTCCAGATTGGTTGTAGTCATCCGCAAGTCAATCCAATATCAACAAACAAATATGTCGTGGATTGGAGCAACGTCATTAGAATAATTTCATGGTATAGTTATCCATGATACAATCAACGACTATACTTGGTTAATTTTAATTTTATCCCGACTTAAATTGAGATTCTTTAGATCATCAAAGTATAGCTAACTTATTGTTGTTGTCGAAGTTCTCGGTGTGGTTTATGTTATGCGACATCTTCGTTTCCGATTCGAAACTCTAAAAAAGTCTGAAGTTTTTTATCACAATAGGAGCTCTCCTTAACTTGCATTGAGTTCAAACAATTGCATTGAGTTTGAACAGTTGTTATTGTTATATAGAGCTACATAAGTTTAGTATTAAATATGTGAGATATTATACTTGTTATAATTGTGTGATGTCGTTTGGTCTTCAGCCGAACAACAACAACATTCACCGAGCAAAAGCGAAAAACAAAATACTCTCCAAGTTGGATTTAAAATCATTTGAAATTGATCAAAAATTTGAATCAATCCCAATATCATATGCTTTAAGTCCACGGTTTCTCATAACATTAAATGTATTGCATCATTCTCTGCTAAGATAGTGACAAACACATTGTCTCGTCATCTAGTGATAAAACACAAGATGTCAAAAGGTAAAAAATTGAACTATACTTTGCAATAACATTTTGAAGTAAATGGAGAACTTCAAGATCCGTATGAGCATGATGACGAATCCAAATAAAACATTTTGAATGTCTTAGTTGCATTTGTGGTGGATCACCAGCAGGCATTCTACATCTCTAGACAAAATGTTCGAATCGTGTTGCCGACGCCTCAATTCTAATTACTCGCAACCATCGCGGCAAACTCTGACACACTCATTATGTGATCATTTTGAACGGTCATTATTGACATACTTTTTAGTTATAGATTCAATTTAAAGAGCAATTGCTCTCAATTGAGATTGATGGTATTCTTGTGTGACTTATATGGTGGTTACTGTTCATTGAATTGATCAAAAGTAGAAATTGTAATCTGTTGTTGGTGATCAAGTAAAATATATCAATTGGATCTTGTGATACATTTTATGACCAAAAAAAATTTGCACGTTTGTTAGACTTAGTGCTTCAACCAATTTTTATTTATCAAATTATTTTATCATTTATAAATTCAATACCTAATGTAAATATGTGTAACACCATTAGATTATGATCATAAATAAATACAATGATGAATATGTTGTTAAAAAAATTTACAACATAATTCAAAAATTGTAAATAAATATTTGATTGAGGTAATATCATGTTAGAAGTATTCAAGTATCATGATTGATTACATATTTAAGATGATGCATATAAACTAATATTGCATTTATATGTTACTATTATGTTATGTAGCTTTTAAATTGTTTGCAGTTATTTAAGAAAAATGAATGCATAATTAGTATATTGATATTTGTTTTAGTACTAAGATGTGCAATAAAAATGTGTAAAAAAACATATGGAACACATTTGTTCAATACATAGATTTAGTGTATTACATAACCAAACAAAAAATGTGATAATTTATTTAAAATCTGCACATTTTTTGTTGATAATTATAATAAATTAATATTGCATGCGTCTATATAACTGAATGTAATTTTCAGCTTATGATCTTTATTTGTTGCAATGTTTGGTATATATATAACTAATGCATGTTTATCCAACATGTATTTGAACGCATATTTGTCAATTTAGATTGAAAAATAAAAACTTATATTTCGATAAAAATCATAAATATCAATATTTTTGTATTAAATAGAATAAATACATAAATATTGTTAATCCAAAATATTAAAATAAAATGATGAAATTTGTAGATTAGATAAATACATTTTGATGAGTTTAAAATTGATTGAAAAAATATGATAGAAAGTGCAAAAACTTTATGCATATAAATATAATATAGTGAATTGAAGCATGTGTTTAGACTTGCTTGAAACACATCCATATTAAATTCAATTTTCCATATAATAATATATTTTATTAATTAATTCATATTACAAAAAAAAAATATTTTGAAATTTAAGTGCTTAAGTGATTTATTGGTTACTTTAATAAATGTGTATGATATGAGGTTTAACTGCTTTTTAATTTTACAAGCTTATCATTTAGCGTTACATGTTCTTATGGTAGAGTTCAAGATTAATTTTATTTCCTAATCCAATATATATATTGTGCAAAGATATAGCTTATGTGAAAAAGAAGAAGTCTTTTCAACATGTGTAATATATTTTTGATAAAAAAGTTGCGTAGTTTTATCTATCATTTGTTCAAACATCATGGATTATGATGTGTTTTAAACCTATTTGTATTTTATGGATGGAAATTTAAACTGCATACATTTAGTATAAATGTTTGAAAATGGTTATCTTGATTTGGATAGAATATCCAATTTATTAATTGATAGAATTAAAATATAATTCATAACATATAATTAGTTTATTGTATAATTTTTTGAAGTTTAATATATTAATTTGATATTATAAATATTTATTTAGTTTTTGACATTATGTTTACATTTGTAACTTGAAATTCAAATATTTTTAATGTGTTCTTTCATGAACATATATCCAGTTAAAGTTTAGATTGAATTTTAAAGTCAGGTTGATTAAGAAGTATAAAATAATGTAAAAAAGAAGTTATCAAAAGTAGTCAAAGCAAAAGGTTATACAAGTATAATATTCAAAAAATGAAAGAACAAATTACTGGATGATATCCAACAGATTCACAAGTTTTGGTGAGACAACAAACGTTTCATTTTACCATATAGTATCGCTTTGATATCACTTCATCCCACTGTCATCCATGCTGTTATACGAGTTTATGATTACTTTGTTTCCAGTTAGAAAAATCACTGCAGATCTTTGTTGAAAGAAAGTTACTTCTCTTCCCAGAATTCAATTAACCCATGGTTTTCAGCAAATCACCTTGAAGTAATCAAAGCAGGGATCTCACTACCCATAAACTACACAGCAAACGGGACTTTGGCCAAGAGTTTTAGAAGAAAAAGTAGAGAATTGTAAAAAAATAATACCTATATTTTATAACTGTAATATCATTCTGGCTATGAGAAATTGGTCTCTCTCAGGATGAAGATTCGCAACCATGAGAATTCAGCGAATATACAAAATTCCAATTGTTCTCACGAGCATCAAAAGCCGTTGTCTAGCTGTGTAGACACTGTCAGTCTCAAAGCAATGTTCTCATCTCACTTTTTGTCAAAACTCAAATTCTCGATATTTTACAAGAACTCGTATGAAAAAATGGATGATCGTGGGAATGAAGGGCCGTAGGAGGAATCCCATCCAGTAAAATGAAACTTTTGCGTTTTGCCAAGGTACCATCAAGTAATTTTCTGAAGTGGAACCAAATTTGATATCTATTTTATCAAATGAGATTATCTACTCTACAATACATACTTCATTATTTGTTATCTACAGGGAAAAACATATATTTTTATCTATATGCTATTATATAATGGTTGTAGTTTTTTGTAAAGCAACATTTCATCTAATTTTCCATAAAGTTGTTGGTTTTAGTTCATTTTTCTGTTGAGAGAACTATGAATTCCGATGTCATTGCAATGTCTAAATTGGATGTCTTCGTATACATCTATCATAATTTGATGTATTGTAGGAAGTAAATTCGGTTATTTGTATTCAAGGGCCAAAATTTGTTCATATGATTTTAAAGATTGTTTGCACAAAGGAGTACAATGTTATTTAGATCAGGTATATTACTTTTTTCCTCCATTACAAAATGAGAATATGGACAGCAAAATGATACTCGTTTTCATCTTCATACGGATATAATATGTATTGCGGTACAAGTTGTTCTGAAGACAGAATACTTATTCAGGTCTGATACTTGAAAACGTAGGAATCCCCTGATTAATCACAGTTGAAATGCTGCCCACATGTTTCACAAATAGATACTACAAGAAATTATTATGTGTTCGAATTAGTGATCCACACTTGCAATAAACTTGCAACTCATTTGATCCAAGATACGACAGTCTCTACTTTAAAGTGTAGAAGATGCCACCAACCTGTTCAAAAGCAATTTACAAGCTAACCGAAGTGAACTGACATAGCATATTTTTGGAGACGTACGTACTCATGGACGTTTTCAAAATAACGGCCTCTATTTCCAGATTACAACTGCGTTGTCTGAGTGCTTCACTACGTCTAGCACTGTGCAGCATAGTGCTCGGAAGTTCGTGGGGTTGTGACTCGGAAGACGGAGTGATGAATTCTGTCAACTGACAAGAGATGCAAGAACGTGAGTGGTAGAATTGAGGCTGATTTCGATTGTGTCCCAGTTCTGGTTTGACCAGATCAAGTCACAGAACTTCTTACGGCCAACTGGACCGGACGGGAGTCACAGGACAGGACGACTTGAAGCAAACGAAGCACCGTGCGGTTTTGGCTTTCGAATTCCGACCGACATCGGCGTCAATCTTTTCAAAACTCGTGCAGGTATTCCCACATGTTCTGGAGTCGAATGCTACGTGCTTGGACAGTTTTCCCGTCTTCCAGTTGTGGTTGTAGACGCATGGACTGAATTTAAGAAATAGAAACTACGGACGGGCTCTGCGTATCGCATTGTGTCTAATTTGCTCTGGTTGGTTGACCGTCGTTTGAAATCGATCCAGTATATGCAGATAAAGCCCACAGATTGACACTTTTGCCTACGTCAGAACTCCGTATGTGCTCTAGCTTAATTTTTCTTAGTATGATGTTTTCGAGAAAGTTTAGCCGATTGCCAGCTCTGTTAGTTTGGCGGCACGCGGACATTCCAATGATCGAATTTGAGCTGTCAGCGTTGGTCCCCATCTTGGCGGGCTTTGATTTGGAGACCGTGGGCATTATTTTTTGGGTTTACGCCCTGTGGGTTTATTCTTAACTTATCTCAGTGTCTGCTTTCCGACTGTGGGGACTTTCTCCCGACATTACTAGGGCTTATTTTTCCTGCATCTTCTTAAGCCGTCGTCTGTCTTCTCTGTAGGTGGCAGACATATGCGTCCGGAGGTTTTGTTTTGGAAAATCGGCTGGCACCGAAATTCTTGTCTATGTCTCTATTGTCGCTCTCGTCCTTCGATCATAAATAAAGCTCCAGTTTTTAAGGTGCAGCAGTCTCAGTTTTCCATGCTTTTCCCCGTAGTATATGACCGTGTATGTCTTAAATGAAGTACGCTTGAAGTGTTCTCGTTGTTACTTTCGGTTTTATGAGTCGGGAAGTGGATACAGTCATTGTGGGTGGTTTTCTGTGACTTTGCACGGGATCTTCTTCCACTTGTTAGCTCTGTCATTGCTCTAGAAGTTTTTATGTACATGAACACCCGAATTCCTAATTCTTTCTCTGTGTTTTGTGGTACTTACAACCAGAGAGTTTTTACGTGAGGATCATAAAAAAAGCGAACATCCTCGCTAGTTTGTTGCAAAGACGATAATCAAAATGACCACAGATGGATTGGATCGTGCTGCTCGAGCTTCTCGAGGAAAGAGGTGCACCTATCATCTCAAGGATCTCTTTGTATATAATTGAATCGATTGTCTTGAATCATGTAAACTATTGTCGACTTTAATCTCAGGATCCGAATATTCGTCTCGTAAGATTAGTAAACTCAATCTCATTGCACAGCTCGCAGTGGTTGAATATCTCGTGCCCATGTATCTTTCAGTCAACCGGAAATGCTGACGCAGTTGGTTCACAGTTGCAACTTTGGTTCACGTTGGTAGTTTCAGTCTTTGCTTTGGGAAAATTGAACTTGTCAAATGATTCGATTGTGTTGCGCGTTTACTTTTTTCTGATTCAACAGTTTTCTCAGAACGGCTTACTGACAGAGTACAAATCTTTATCAAGTAGTTTGTCACAACGAGTTGTGCCTTTTGAAATGTTCGTTTAAAGCAGAATCATTATGCCTCAAATTTCGACTTCGAAGGTTAAACTGGTAGAGGCAAGACATTATTCCTGCTGAAAACAAGGCCCGATTCTGTGTGAAGATTTTTCCACCCAGTTTTGGATTTGGATCTTGTTCGAGTACTCACTTTCTACTTTTTTTGGGAAACAGGATGTCAAAATTGCTCAGCGAAGAAGTAGAAGCAGACGAAGAGTTTTGGAGTCAGGAAGCCTTCAAAGATGTATGGAAACAAATAGTTGACCATGCATGAAGTTAGAATTCTTTTTTCAACGTAGAATAGAAGAGTCGAGAACAAATCTTTATCTTTCGCTTTTATTAGTTGCTCTCACAGCTGATCGTATTGTGAGTAATGTTTTAAGATCATTTCGTTCCTCTCAATCTTCTTGCAGGAGGCTGAGGATATTGAGTACGAGGCCGAAGTTGAGGAGGCTGATGTTTTCGACAGCGACTTTGACGCGGATGTACGTTGACCAGTTTCAGCAGGTTTGATGACAATCTTGAGCTAGGGGTGATTTGCATAGGCTAAATCTTATCGGAGCAATGTAACTTTTCTAGGTGAGGTTAAAATGCAAAACGTTTTTAGTGCCCTTCGTCTAGAACTGTCTTTCGGGTGCTTGGTAGATTTCATTATCTTTGCTTGAGTTGTATTAACTATAGCTTTGGACGTGTTTCTGAACCCAGGAACCTGACGAAGAGGAAGGCGATGAGGATGAAGATGAGAGGTAGCATTTGGAACTTCTTTTTTTGGTTTTCTGCCTAGCCTCGTAGATAGTTGGTAATGATCTTTCCTGCATTTCTTGTACGGTTTTGCAGCGTCTTTCTTTCTGTCGGCTAGATGGTTGCTACTTTCAGTATGAACTTCAAAACTTTAAGATTGATCACTTCATTAAATATAAGCTACCTCGAATGTGTATGTATCAGGAGACCTGCAAAGAAGAAGCTACTGGCAGGAAGACCTTCCTCAAATGGTAAGAAGAAAGGTGATAAGAAGAAGAAGTCGGTTACGAAGAAATCTGTCTCTTCCTTGGTGGAGATTGCCGCCGCTGCTGCAGCCGGTGGTGGCTCACAACGTCCGCCAACGAAGCCCCCTCGACCACCGAAACCTGTTTCCGTTGCGAACCAAGAGAATCGGGAATCAAATTTGGATCCAGAGGGAGCGCAGGGTATAAGAAAATCTACAAGAATGGCAGTTGTGGTGAAACAGGCAGAGCGCGAAGCGCAACAAGCTGCTCTACAGGCCCTAGCGAAGGTCCGGTGCATATCTTACTAGTAGACAAGCTGTCTAGCTAGTAAATATCGGTGATCAGTGGGACTTCAAGTGCAATGAAATTGCAGATTGCATGAACTGAACTTTTGAATCTAAAAATTCCCAGCTAATCTAACTACAGAGAAAGGCCCGGATACGCAATTTACGAAAGAACTTTCAATGCTCGACTTTCCGAACACAAGGTCTTTTAAGTTATCCGTATCCCACATTCGGGCTTGACAGTTCCTTGTCTGTTACTTTTCTGTCTTCAGCCTATTATAAAAAGGAAAAAAGAAGAGGAGCGGAAGATAACTCAGGAAGAGATGCTGCTAGAGGCTGCCCAAACAGGTACGGTGTTTGCTTGGCGCTGATTTTGTGATTTTATTGAATATCCTGCAAACTGCAACGTATTCCACCGTATCTGTGTCGTATACGCCCTTAGAAACTATGAAAGCTATCAACTCAGATTCTTGGATGTAGAATATATTTGAAACAATTCTTATAATCTCCCTGTTAACGTAGAGATACAGAATCTGCAAACTTTAGAGATCATGTTGGCACGTGAGGAGGAGGTAAAACGCAAAGCCATCATTCATAAGGCAACCTACAGTGGCCCTTTGATTCGATTTCATTCCAGAGATGGTAAGCTTTCTTGCCAACCTGCTTTACAATGATCTTGAAACTTCTGATTACATCGTAATGATTAGTTGTTCAGGCTCAACGAAAAGTGCCCCAAGCGATTTCAGTGACTCGTTCTGAGGGCTGTGCAGTATACAGCAAAGGGTGTTATGATAATGATCATACTGAGTTTCCTCTATCTACAGGCATAAATACACTAGGCTTTACCAAAGTTGAAGAATTCCCAGAAGTTTTCAATTCGTCCTGCGTACCATGTGAGTATATAAACTTGATTTTGATATGTGGATTTATCTCATAATCTGGTGTTAGCACCGCCAGCAAGCTATGTCTTGAGGTTCTGGCAGAGAAGTACTAATTGGTTTTGTATTGATTAGCTGTTTATGTGACCGCGGGAAGAGCGCTTGTTTCTTCATTTCCTCATCAGTGTTGCTGATTAAAGGTGCAGTTTTGAGAAGTGAAGTGATTTTCCCTCTTTTATTTTGCTTGACTTGCTCGTCCGGTAGGTATACTGACGATGATAGTCTTGCCGTATGTTTCAGATCCGAAGAAGGTCCTCTGTGTTATTACCGGGCTACCTGCGAAGTATGTGTAAATCTTTCTACATGGTTGAGTTAGATTATGGCTGCCATTTGTTGTATTCAACATTTTTTTCTCTCCCGAGAAGATCGAAACGTATATTGAAATGAAGTTCCTCTTTGATACATATCTTGTAGTATGGATATCCATCAAATTAGGAGACTCGAGATACTGTTGATGAGATGGGAACCGAATATTTATAACTAATCAACTTTCATGCATAGTCTTCCATTTCAATACATACTTACCAAAGTCCTCGTTTTGTAGTTTGCAAATGGAAGAAGACAATTTCTTGCAAGAAATGTCTTCTCGTTCAAGTGCCTCTTGTAAGAAAAATGATAAACGTCATTTTTCTCTGCTTGGGACTATAACATATCTCGATTAAAATGTTGATCCATTATGCACGTTCAACCATATAACAGTTCTATTCCCCGTTACCCCTTGTAGGTACAGAGACCCAAGGACGGGACAGCCTTATGCTACCAAAGAAGCATTCAAATTGATTCGTGAACGGTACGTTATCTTTCTGATATAGTTCCAGTTCCTCCTTGATTGTCGTATTAACATGGATTGGCTAAGAGTCTCTGACGATATAATGACAGTTATCCTGACACGAAATGCCATTGAAAACAATTTCAACCGCAAAAATAACAATTAATATAAAAAATGGGTGGCGGTACTGTCTTGGTGATCACCACATCATGTTCATCGGAAGTTCCTGACGTTTGTACCCATTGTCAGATGCTTCCATAACACGCACGAAGCTGCAATAAGGACTCTGTGTTGACCTTATTGCAAAACTTTGTGTTTATTCCATTGAAACAGTTCGTATTTGGTCCTTCTCTTCCATTGCGAGATGTCCTACGCCTTTCATAACATTCAGTTTCTCTCATGTATTCTTGTATGTTACGTCAAGCTCTCAAATCTTCATTTCCCTCTGTGCAATGCCGTTCTTCTTCTCTCTGCTTCACACCCGGTGCAAGGTTGATGTGGGTTTCTGTTCTCCTTTCTGGATACTTGAACTACTACCCATGTTGATTCTGCAGTTTCTACATTCGGTAGTACTAATCTTGAGACTACTTGTTGATCATTCATCTAATTTTTTACCGCTTTCACTCCTTTTATTCTGTAACCTTGTTGAATATTAACATTGCTTGATTTTTGCACTTGGGATTGCTTCGGTTGATCTGCAGCTTCAGCAAGGTGGAGAATACAGGAAGGAGGAGGCCAGAGGAGTCGCATCAAAGAAAGAGGACGAAAGTGGAGAGAGAGAGACCGGGTCCTGGGAGTCGGAGCAGTGTAGCGAAGCTCAAGTTCAAGAAGGTTATAAGTACTACTAACATAGATGCGTCAAGTTTGCCTCAGCCAGGCGGAATCGTTCCAGGACAGGCTTTGAGTAGAGTGGAAGTTGAAGTGTTGACGGCACAGCCATCGCCAGGTCCACCGCCAGAATATCCTGGAGACTTGGGCTTCAGTCCTGTTTCAACGTCGAGCAAGAACGATGGGTGCAATTTACGTCTTGATGGGAACTCTATGGGTCGCGATCTGCCAGCTCTTGACATGCCTGAGCCCATCAATGAAGCGAATGAAGCTGACTTTTTGTTAGACGACCTGGAAGTTTCTCTTCCATCAAATTTGGATTCCGGTCTGTCGCTCCCTACATCGTCCAGCATGTCTCCAATGCTTTTGAATCATACCACAGGGGATAATGAGGCCAGAGACGTTCATCTTGAACAAGAGGAACTGATGGTTATGGATTCTGAGCAAGACCAGGCTCTTCTTCCAATGGATATGTTACAATTTTCTGATCTTGATGGCCTCGAGACATCAGGGAAAATCTCATGAAATAAAAGATTCAAATGACAACGTGTGTATGAGTTACAGATTTGATTCAAATTGAGAGATTGTATTCTTATGCTCTGCAGCAGTCAAAACATGGCAAAATATACTTCTCGACTCGACAGTTTGAATCATTCACTCTTAATAGTTAGGTCTCGTTTTCATGTAGGGGAGCAATATGTCTTACCAATTATCTGGAGGTTACCGTGAATGTCGTCAAAGCTTCAATTTATGTTTCCAACTCCTTATTCGGACAGGAAGTCAACATAACAACTGTATCCATTCGACCTGGTCGCTAGATCACGTACTGAAATGAATAGAATTGTAGGGTCTCAATTTTTACTTAGTAATTTGTCATAACACAAAGGAATGATACAATAGTATATTGAATTTACCAAACAAACATTTACTGTACAAATAACTGGCATCTCAATCCAACCACAACTATGATAAAAGATATTAACGGCGGTGAACACAGAGAAGCAAACTGAGGACCTACAATGATGACCATATGACTGTATGATATACCTACCACAAACCTGATACCAAAGTTAAGCATTCGCACGCACTATTGAACGTGCAATCAATACATCACACTCATTATTAAATCGATTATGAGTACTTAAAAAATGATTGAATATCAAAATTTCATCAGACCCTGAAATCAATCAATCATGCATTCTTGAAAAATGACAACAATCAAAATTTCATCCAACTTTGCAACCTTCAAAATTTTTTTATCTGGCAACACATTGCTTTGGACTAATGTACAACACATTGAACTTAACACGAATCTTGTCCCACAATCATTGTTTATATTTCTTTCACTCCTGCGGACTTGCACAGTGATAGATTTGCTCGAATACTCTTATGATTTAAGACTCGATGGAAAAGTTCAATCCTGCAAGTCAAGCAGCAAATGCATTGCAATTGGTGAGTATCTCACGAGTTCAAATTTTATGACAATATTTCTTGATGAGAGGTCTACTATCCAAGTTCTGTAACAGTGATATCTGAAATGTTCAAATATTTTGTAACCTTATGGGCGGGTATTTGACATAACTCTACAATTTTTGTAGAAGAAATCACTTGCTATTAAGTTATTTTCATGCATCGCAAACTCTGATGTCATGTGACAAATGTGATTTCTTAATTTACTTTAAAAACTTGACATCAACAACACTTGAAATTTCACTACTCCAACTAGTATGATCAATGTTATGATACAAAGATTATATTTTTTTCATTGATTTTTTTTCCCTCTTGTAGACATAAATCAATACATTTACAAGAAATTGAATAATTTGGATCTAATTTAGTATATGCATAGCATACAAATTTTTACTTTGTTAATCGAAAGTTGGGATTAGTAATACAGTTTTAGCCAATAGTAGATTATCTTTTTAGAATCTGACTAAAAATTGTTTTTCAACTTCCGTCCATGTCTTGTAAATAGCTGATTGAATATAATTTTTCTAAAAATCTCTTAGATGAGCTAATACTAAGAACTTAAATATTTTGTAATTATCAGTTTTTGCATATATTATATCCGTACATCAAACTTTGATGTACTTTGATGATGGCTTCTCGTGGTGTATAACAAGTGTGTAAGGACATAAAACATCTTGATTATGTAGTATTGGCAAATCTTTATCGTTAAAGACAGCATTACAGTGGAACTTCTCGGCTAGACTCACTGTTGGGTGTCCAAAATTGTTAACATTTTGACGAAATCTGGCAAATCTTTTCGACATGAAGCATGAAGAGAGGAGCAGAGCGTTTCGATTTACAACTTTTCGGTTATGAAGGAGCAATGCGAGCACAAAGAAGGTTTAGAAAAGTGGCGAATCTTGTCAACGTGAAGCATGAAGACCAGGAGGAGAGCGTTTTGCTCAGCTAGTTTTCAGTAACGAAGGAGGAATGCGAGCACGAAAAAGTGTAGCAACCAGATTTTGAGGTTTAGATGATCAGATGCTTTGACACTTTTTCGGTAAGATAGCGGAAGTTCGACGTCTTCTCTAGATTTCCGCATCATCCGTTTACTGTTATTGCTGGCCTCTAGAGGCCGCTGAAGTGACGCTGGTTTCACCAGTGGGACTCTTTCAAGGCCTCCATTTGTTCAGACTATGGTTTTGTCGACGTTAGAAGCAAACTGAATCGTGCAGACGTTGATTGTGCATCGACCAATCAATAGCACTCGCATTCTTGATTGTACTACGAGTTACCGTTACAGTTAGTATTGCGAGGTGACGTTAGGGTATCGAACCGTACGTACTGTGGATTGTCTTGGGGTTGCTATGAGCGTTTGAATTATTGAATGCGGACAGAGTGCCGGGGGTTTTGCACAGGTAATCATCCGTGTATTACTAGAAAATTGCGTGCCGTTCTTTTGCTCCGATCGCCGGATGTAGCTGGGGGATTACCATTGAAGCATTCATCGAAGGAATTAGGGATTTTGTGGTAGGTGGACTGTTTGAATTTTATGGCGGTGCATATTAGTGAAGAGAGGCCGATCGATGTTGATAAGGGTGAAATAATTCCAAGTCAAGAAATTTGCAAGGCAGCAGAATTATTGCTGAAGGTCGTGAACGATCCTGAGTTATTCGGAGGGCTTTGCGAGAGTTGTGTTCCGATTCTGCACGACCTTTTGCGGCAACTTTCGGTCTTATCAGGTGTGAGCAAGAAGAGGAGATTCAATTTTTGACTTTTTATTGATATACAGTTATAAGTTGTTCCAAAAGGGGATATCAAGAAAAAAAATCATTTTATGGATGAAATCCGGATTATCTTCTCGCTGAATTACTTCAAGGTGGGAAGGTCTGTAAATTACGTTATTACTTGAATGGAAATGTGGTCTGTTTCAACGTATTTTATAGCAGATCATTTAACGCTATGCAGTAGGACTCTTTTCTGAGTTTTTTCTCGTCTTTAGTGAAGAATACTCTCATATTATTGGAATTTGGCACACTTTAGGAATTTGCAAAAACGTTTGTAGTCAATTGTTACATCATTTGGTTCCTGTATTGCTATCTGTCTTCGTCCATGTATGCTAGGTCACGAACTCCTATCTCCTAGCAGCTGGGGTTACGTTCATTTATCAAAAAAATTTCATAGGCAGGACGTTACAACTACCTTTTGTCAAATCACTGAAAACTTAACTCAGAACCAAATTTCTGAAAACATATTAAGATTCCTGAACATATGACGGAATTTAAGGCCAGAAGGTTCAACCACCCACATAAGCAAGTCCAGACTATTCCTGATAGGAAAGTATACGAAGAGAAGCAATATTCCTTGTATCTTTTGACCTTCTGTCTGATGTATGTACAACACCAAGTGTTGAAGTGTGCATTTGTTGCTTTTGAAGCCTTTCTGAAGTCTAGAACAAATAATCAGCTTAGTTCATACCGCACGTAGCTGCAATGAGGATTCTAGAATGTTAAGGTCAACTAGTATGAACAGCACCTGGTATGAACAGCTTCTTCATATTACTGCAGAGCGCATTAGGATTGATAGAAAGAAAACTTTGTTGGAGTTAGTTGGGTATATGGGTGTAATAATCTTATTATTCTTATACCCATTCGAGAAATGCTGATGATTTCGCAAGGTTGAAGTCATGGAACTAGCCCAGGCACCGAATATGTTATTTGAATGGATTGACCTACTGTAACCACCAAGCCATCTTCTATTCACAATCGCTCAAGCTTGTACATCATTCTGTGATTTGTTTATTTTGTCTGTTTCTCTTGCATGTTTCTTCTTTCTCCATCAAATTTGCTCACCTCTTTCTCATTCTTCTACCTTTCTAGAAGTATTCTGTATTTGTTATCCATTGTATAATTCCGATAAATACTTACTAGAAGTTCTTGGAAGGTGTAGAATGTTCTTCCTCAAATATATTTAGTGTTTTCGCTATTTGATAAGTCACAGTGCTTCGAATTTTTTTGGGTTTATTATACTATTTGAATTTTCTCCCAGTAGATATTCTTCACGGCGTCTAGAGTCTTTCTTTCGAAAATTTGGATGATCTTGTACATTAGGTTCGTGTTGTCTGCTCCATGCTCTTGATTCTGAGTCAACGGTCTCTTGGTTTGCTCAGTTCTCTTACCTTCTCATTATCTATAGACCGAGACCTTCCCACCAACCATCAGATTTTTGAAAGTAACTACTGCTAGGGTATCAATCATTGAAGGCAGTTTCAAGCGTTGTAATTATTCTGTTATGCGCTGCCGAAGATATTTACTAGCTCTTTCTGCTCTGGCAGTGGATGTGAGGATTGTGAACAACACAAAAGAAAAAAGCACGGAGTGTATAAGCAATGATGGTAAAGGGCCTTCACTCACTTTGGATAAGTCCAAGTTGTGGAGTGAGGAACCATATTCAAGTTCAGAGACGGAGGAAGAGTCGAGTCCGTCACGCAATTTAGAAACTCGTGATGATGACAGCGAATCAGCTGTTTCCGCATCCAAGGATACTAAGTCAATTGTTCCACAACTAGGAGTTACTCAAGAGGTTGTCACTACACCTGTTAGAGCCTTCAAGAATGAGAAAATTCAATTTGCATGGGCAAATGTCGCCATTTCTGGCCCCGAAACTGTAGACGACCTTACAGGGCCTCCAACTCCTGGAAAATCAGATGAGGCGAAGGATCCGATTCAAGGTAAATTGAGCCGAGAAAGACGAGAAGAGCTACGATTCCACGGTGTGAAACGGAAGAAGGACTTTCAGTGTATAGAGTGGGTTAGAGGCACACGTATGAACGTTGTAGCGGGCTTAGAGTTACACACGAATGTGTTTAGCGCAGTGGAGCAGAGACGTCTCATCGATATGGTGAAGGAGTACCAAGAGAAGGGACGCAATAAACTCCTGAGAGGTATGTGCATGTATGGTTGTCATCCCTTTTGCTCAATTTTCTTTGTGTTTTTGCTAATGTTGAAGTGAAGTTCTTCCTTAGAAAGAATTTGGGATTTTTTGAAGAAATCAACTGCAAATCTTAAGAGCTTGAATAGATTCTTCAGCTCTTTGCGACGTTATTGGCAGTCAATTGTTTTACCGAATTAAATCATGTCTTCGAAAGTGAGATTTTGTTAGCAATTTGTCTGATGAGTTCACATCCTCTGGTGATACAGGTGAATCTGACTGAATAAACTAGTAAAGTTGTGCCAAAGAGTGCTAAGTCAGAGAAATAAAGTCTTACAACTTATTATCTTTTCTTTGAAACAGAGAGAACGTATTCTGAACCTAGGAAGTGGATGCGGGGGAAAGGAAGAGTTACTATACAATTCGGATGCTGCTACAACTATGCAGTAGTAAGTTCATCATTTGGTCTTATTTTGCATACACAGATAGCTGCCTCGGATAAGGGTTTATGTATTAATTCATTGTTTGTAACTTACTCATAGTTTCATTTTATTCTGTTATTTTTATGTGACGTATAGCTAACCTTGTTCTGAAATTTATGGTGCATTTCTATTGCTTCTACTCTTTGCTTTATGATTGGTGCAAGTCAGCTGCGCGTTTCTGTTCTCAATTCATCATACTGCACATATTTTACCTTGTTGTTTTCTTCAGGTACATTTCTTGTACATGTAGTTGCTAACCTTAAGACATTAGTACGTCCACAATATTAGATTTTCGACCGTGTTGTGCTCGGGATTTGTTACCACCTACGTCCTCATTGGGTAATATGAACTTGGTCCGTAAGCTACACATGGTTCTTTTTGAATGTTAATGCTACGTATTGAATTCACGTTCTAATAATTATGAGGATCAATTTTGCAGGACAAAAAGGGAAACCCTCCTGGAATAATTCATGACGAGCTGGTGGATCCTTTGCCTAATCTTCTAAAGCAAACTATTCGTCGACTGGTCCGCTGGCATGTTCTGCCAAGTGCTTGCATACCTGACAGTTGCATTATCAATATTTATGACAAGGGTGATTGTATCCCTCCACACATTGATCATCATGACTTCGTGCGACCCTTTTGCACATTATCGCTTCGCAGCGAATGCAACATAGTCTTTGGATCGGAGCTCAAGATTATCGGACCAGGAGAGTTTGACGGGCCCCTCCTCATACCTCTGCCAGTCGGGTGAGTGTAGAGTGAATAAACGACTTCTTGAGTGATTATCTAACTTTATATGTCCGTTGTTGTTATTTCCCTTCGCCCGTTTGTCCATGTTAAGCGTCCGTTGATGTCGTTGCGTCGTTGTATAAGCTGGGTGAAGGTTCCTAGACTACTTGATGTGATTTTTCATGATTTGCCAAGGTTAGGACCTCACAGCTAGAGCGCATGGTCTATGTCTTTGGGGCTATTTCTTATGAGCACAATTTTGATCTTAGCATGAAGACTTTCACATTGCTTCCAGAAGCATGTTAACTCTCAGAGTTTGGTATGTTTCGTTGCAAACATGAGTTTTGTGCGTGTTGATACTTTCACAACTTCTGTGGGTTTTTAGGGATCGTTTCGACCTTAGGAGTATAGGTTCAAACTTGCTCGTGTTTTTCAGAGAGAAGTTACTCTGTCTGATGTTGTGGTAAACGGTTGTATGTTCGCCTGTCGTGATATATGATAGGTCGGTTTTGGTGTTTAACGGCAACGGAGCCGACGAAGCGAAACATGCCATACCGGCAGTTCCTACCCAACGGTAAGGCAACGATAATGAAAGCCTTGAGATTTAGGAGTCGAAAGATAGACAACCCTATCTATCCGGAGTACATAGTTTGCAGTACCTGCAGTCCAAACGAAACGGTAGCTTTTAGTATTTTTGACACAGAGACAGGCACTGGAACACATCTAACCACAGTTTTTTGTCCTTGCAGAATATCGATCACTTTCCGCAAAATGGATCCAAGGAAGGTACCTAGAGGCTACGTAGTCCCAAGTGATCTTGAAAATGTAGTCCCTTTTTGAGGATCACAAAAGTAGTCCAAAAAGGGATTTCCTAGAAGTCCCCATACGCAGTGTCTCTTGAACGGAGGGCAGTTTAACCGCCTGCGTTTTGTCGACTTAATCTCCGTCGATATTACGGGAACTCAATTCCCCTTTCCTGTGTAGTGTATTCGATATGCTTTACTTTCGATAATCGAAAGCAAACGCTTGTGCTACATGAGTCTTAGAACTATCCACAGAAGTGTACAAATTGACTGAAATAGTGTAAAGCAGGAGTTTATAGGAAGAGTTGTTTGCGAGAAAATGAACATATAATGGGCCGAGGTTTCTTTTCTGATAGGTAGAAGATAGTGATAAATTTTATTGGAGGTCGTATTTGCTGAGAACCTCCCATCCGCTGACTATTGAAATAGCCGGGGCCAGGTACTCTTGTTTTAATGGAACAACATCCTTTGTGTCCACGGTTTGTGTGCAGTTAAGCTCTGATGTCCTTTCAAACCTTCCTTAACATGTCGTTGATTTGTGCTTGTTTTAAATGGAGTAACTCGTGGGCACCGTAGCTTTGCTTCTTCTGGACATTCCGACCATGGTCGTTCCGCCTACAAACAAAGCGGAATGTTGACCTTTCGTGCCAATCCCAATGCTGTCCAGGCGTGACATCAAACCGAAATTGTTTCATAATTTTGCGAAAATATTACGGGCGTTGAGAAGCTCTTTGGTACCCAGACACGTGAATCAAATCGATACTCCAGTCGATATGTATTACGTGATTGTCATTCTCCTTATGGCATCAACGACGGCTTCCATTTTCATTCCTCGACTACCTTTGACCAGAACGGTATCACCTGGTTCTAGGATAAAATCGACCTGCTTCGCAAGCTGCTCCGAGTCCTCAAAAGAGTAAAAGTTATTGGTCGTCATCCCCAAAGACATTGCAGCTTTGGCGAAGCACTGACCAACGAGACCAACGTAATCCAACTGCAGCTCCGTGCAAAGTGCAAGGGCAGTTTGATGCGCATCCTCTGAGACTCTACCAAGTTCTAACATATCGCCCAGAAAGGCTACCCTCCTGTTTTTGGAATCCATGTAGGAGAGGGATCTTAGACTTGACTCCAAGCTCATAGGATTCGAGTTATAGGCATCATCTAAAATATGAACATTTCCGACTTGTTCAAGTCTGGACCGCCTCCCAACAGGCGAATATTCACTTAACGTTTTGCAAACTTTCTCTACAGGAATGCGAAGGGCAACAGCAACAGCAGCCGCAGCACAGGCGTTCATAGCTAGATGTAACCCCGGGGATGAGATATCGAACACCGTTCTAGAGTGATAGTCCCGTCCGACAGCCGCGCCATCAAAAGGTTTCTGAGGATGTGTGTGTATGGGTTTCTCAGTAAGTAAATTTTCCAAAATCTGGGATCCAGAGTTAAAGTTTTCCACGGTGATACTTCCATAGCTGGACTGCTCAAGAATTACATGGACACCGCGACCTCCTTCAGTTACTGCTGCTTCCACAAGCTTGACATGACATCCTGCTCGTCTTCCAAAAAATATCTGTATACAATAATGTGTCAGAAGAAGATCTTCGGTCAATGGCAAGCATGGCGGTGGGTACTTTTCCATGACCCGTGTTGCTCACTCTTAATTTCAGATTGTTATGACTGTGAACATAAATTTAGTCATTACACTACAAACCGCAGCTGTTGCCGCATATTGGAAATTATTGCATATTGCTTGGCCAGACTTCGAGACGAAGATATGTCTTTCAGGCTTTTTATAAAGGAAATGTGAACACTAAGTAGTGACATAAGAAACAGTTGAGATATAATTACCACTTGCACTGCAGGTGGGAGAATCAAACCCATGATAAGAGGATCATCGGCATTCAAAATGCAAACGTCTCCCGGTCTTGCACAGCTAAAAAGCTCTCCCTTGGCCGCAGCCACATGCTCCAGCTTCTCAAAGTTCTCCATATGCGCAGGGCCAACATTCAACAGAACTCTAACAGATGGTTCAGCAATCCTTGCAAGAACCTCCATCTCTCCAGCAGCGCTCATCCCCATCTCCAAAATACAAGCAGAATTTCTGAAGGGAAGTTTAAGAAGTGTAAGAGGAACTCCTATATGGTTATTGAAGTTTCCTTCTGTCTGGTGGACATGACCCAAGGATTTCAAAGCAAGAGATGTCATGGCCCTCGCTGTGGTCTTGCCAGTGCTTCCTGTAATGCCTACAACGGGTCCTCTATACAATCTCCTCACGTACGTCGCTAAGAGATGAAGAGCGTCTAAGGAGCATTCGATCCTGATAAACCCGCGAGGCCAATCGGAGCTAACATTCTGTCCGATTACTCCAGCACAACCACGATCTAAAGCTTGTTGCAAAAAATCATGCCCATCAAATTTGGGCCCTACAAGAGCAAGAAACCATTGCCCTCGGTTGATTTTCCGACTATCGGTGCAAATGCTTCCAGGAGAACCCCATTGCACAACATCTCCACCGACCGCTCGTGCAAGCCGGCTAGCGTCCCACACGACACCACCGTCATCACAACTCCAACCATAGTCTTGCGAGCCTCCGCCGGCCCCCTCCGAAAGGGGGTCGGACGAATTCACGCGGCATGTGAACGATCGGTAGAACCTCGCTCGCCGATGGATCTGCAGACCTGCTCGAACCCTCGCACTGCACAAGAGCAGCGACCGGGGGCCCGAGCTCACATCGCTACACCGACGGCTCGAATGGGGACTCGTCGTCAGAGGTAAAAGCCCGCTCATCTCATCCGCTGCCACTCTCATCCCCACATCACATCACCTCACCACGCCGTCTGCACGCTAGGTGGACCGGAGGGCAGAGCTCCGTCCCGTCGGTCTTTTCGATCCTCGTTGGGCGATGTAGCCGAAAGCACACTCAACCATCATGTAAGCGCGACGCGAAGGGCCGACGATAGCCCGACCCAGCGCTATCGCGTGTGCCCGCGCGCGCTCCCGTCGACGTCGCCCGTCACCCGTCGCCCATCATCGGGCTCGGTGGACACGCCAGTCGAGTCTCCAGCACAGTACACCACAGTGAGCCCGCATCGCATCAACCTCGTCATGGGCAGCAGTACGGCGTCAGCGCCCCGCCTTGCGGCCCCAGGTCACTCTAAACTCGCCCACCGCTGGGCCCCCGCAGGCAGCCGATGATTACCGTTCCGAAGATACTCGTCGGCTCGTTCCCGGTCACAGTCGATCTCATCGTCATCTCATATCTTCTCCAGCGGCCCGGCGCCGTCAAGGACTGGGTCAAATCGCCGTCCACGCCGTCGGCGTGTGAGGTCGCGGCTCGAGCCTCCGTTCTTTTGCTCAGGCCGTCAGGTCGCTCACTCTGAGAGACTCTGATAAGGATTGTCTGAATGGACAGGGGCGCCCGTACAACCGAAGGAACAGAACCGAACAGGGCATGAATGAACATTTGGATTATTCCCCCAATTGAGGAAGCCGCCAAACGTCACTCTTTCGGTCTTGACTCCAGTCCCTCCTTCTTTCGGTTGCTTTGCAAGTTGGCCGCCGGTCGCCGTCCCTGTCAGCCCAGGTCAGCCCCGCCCGGCAGAGATTCATAGCAGTTTACATTCTCCGGACCGTCCTCGACTGTCAGCTCCGATTTAACGGTACTGTACATACCGTGCAGTGCCCACCGTATCTCTCCGCGGAGAAGTCAGTCGTAAGTTGACTTTGCGTCGAGTTTGTTGAACGTTGCGCATCGCTCATACTCTCGTGCTTCTGTCCCATGACGGTGTATTCCAACCCTCTGAAAGGCACCGATGACCCCCGCTCCAATACGTCCTTCCTGGTGACTGAAGTCAGTGACGGGCAACCTTTCCTTGCAGTGAGTTTCAGTGCCAGAGTGCGTTGAGGGTTGTTCGCGTGAAATCGGTCAAACCTTTTCTGTCTTCCTCTGGATATTCTCCAGAAAGGGCCGTCGATATATAACGCGAGGTTTCTATTACTGGACACCCGTCGCCTTATCTTATCGTACATATTTCGTAGCATGCCTCCAAAGCAATGTAGGAAAATGTACATATAGGACATTCCTGTACTGTATTCTACAGTATCAAGCCATGGAAAGATATGCGATGTACAACTCCGTCGCAAACGGTTGATGCGCTCGGTCCAGAGTCCAGGCTCGCTCCACACTCCAGGAGTCAAGACCTCGACTTTTCAAGTTGCAGGAAACCTTGACAAATTTTTAAAGTACTTCGGACAAACTTAACCTTCCCAGGCTGAAAGAGGTCTAAAGATAGGTCGATAAGTTCGAAAGTGCGACTGGATAAAAGCAGATGTTCAGTATACGAGGTAATGGGAGATTCGTTCCTTTTCTGGCTGTCTAGACGTGTCGTATTGGGCAAGTCGGAGGCTCGGAGGCTCGGAGAAAGGAAGGAACTCTACACTGTACAACTCTACACAGTCTCGTATGGGTTCGGTCCCGTCCAATGCACACTTTCGAGTGTTACTTTCCCGGTCACTTACAGAAGGAAACTATCTTACTCCCTCGAACCCAGCATTGTCTGCTCGTCTGTTGTAAAGAGGATGTGTGAAGCATTGATTGCAAATATGCTTCAAAATACAACTTACATAGATTGCTCTCACCAACACGAGACTGATACCTTCGATTTGGTGAGATCAACTCCATGCCTTCTAGTTAGATCTTTCTATTCAAGATAGCCATCAGATTTATAGTATATGGTGACTGGACTATGTGAAAACCTGATGCCACAATGCACTTTCTTCATATTGACATATAAATTCATGTACAAAACAAAATAGCATGTATGCTAATCTAATATTTACCTTTATTTCATAGAAAAAATGTCTCGAACATCAAATATCAAATCCTTTCCCAAAAAAGTCATAATTTACATCTTAATTTCTTATCACATAAATCATATACCATACATTCCAAGTGTGTCTGCACAACTGCGACTGTTGGATCCATAAATCCATCATCACTGTATAGAAACTAAAATGATACAGAAATACCAAGATGGTATTCTTAATTCCTATACTATCAAAAACATTTAATCAAAATGTCAGTCATTTGTAGATACCAGTAATATGTATTTATTTTATTTTATTTTATTTTTTTTATAATGCATATCAGATCTTTGATGTATATGGATATGAAGATTCTTCATATGTGGATTTCCAAAATATTGCAAGGTTGAGTTCAGTATATAATCAAGATAATTGTTTGAAAAATAAATATATATGACAACAATATATTAAATGATTTAAATTTTTACAATATACATTAAAGATTGAATATTGAAAATGCTAAATATGACTTCATACAAGTGGATCGTGCATCCACTTACCAATAATGAAAACATAGTATATAATCATTTGATGTTGCAGCAAAATTATTTAACGTTAATGAGTCATCAAATGCTAGTGCAAATATTTGAGATCTTTCATTCAATTTCAAACAGTTCATATTTAAACATTATAAAGAATTAGGTATTTGAGTTTATGATATAATCTTATAATTGAGTCAAAAAAGTCAGAAGATATTAAATTAATATATCTTACCATATATTTTTATTAGGCAAAATCTTCATACATTTGCAGATTTTGATAACACATAAATAATTATGGTTAGATCCAATAAGTGAGATTGAATGTTTACTTCAATATTATGTATATCTGAAGTATTCATAATAGAATGATTTACAAAAAAAAGTTGACTTCATAATAGCCTCCTAAATATTTTCAATGATTGAAATTTTTGGAAATATTAGAAAAATTTCATATAATATAATTTTTATATTAAAAAAAATTATGTAAAAAATATTAAATTCATCTTAGAGATTTTTTTGAATGTTTAATGATCAACAACGTTATCGTCATGAAAATACATCTCATAGCATATTCGATTTTGTACATATCAAAATTAAATGATGTACAATTAACATAACATATGAATTTCACATCGATTGACATTGTTATCTTCAACTTTATGATATTAATGAATGTTTTTTTCATTATAAGATTTCAAGAAATATTAGTTGATTAAATTGCCTTATATCATTGTTTGAGAACAGCAAAAATTTAGATTTGCTTGCATAATTTGTTCAGATTTCTATTCATAATCATACTCTAATACTTTGAGATATTTGTGTTTTTCATAACTTGATAAAAAATATAATGTGATGTAGATATATTACAACATAAAATCCACGATCTTAGATTCACAATCGAGATTATTTTTTTGTTAAAGTAAGTAATTTTAATATATAATAATATTTTTGATGGATATTTTAAGAATGTATGATTTTTTTGGGTATAATTTAAGTAATCTTGTAGCTTCAAGGTTTTCAAATATGTTTTCATAAAGGGAAGATTCTAGATTATCTTAAATTGGAGAGTAAGTAGTTCATAGGATGTAGATTTTATTATATAGTATCTTTTGACCTAACTGTAATGTAGACACAATTGCAACGTCTATTTGGTACTACCGGCTTGAACTGTATTCTTAGAAGACAAAAAGAGAAAGATTCTTACGATCTCGTCTCACTCTCCACGGAAATACGAAGATAAAGCTCGGCACCGTACTATACACCGTAGTAGTACTCCCTGCAGTGACCGCACGCCAATCTCACTTGGCTCCGCTTTGGTGGGCTGGACAGAATCCTCCCAGGCACTCAGGATTCCAGATTTGGGTGGCGCGGGTGGAAATAGCACCTGGGGGGCAGGGGTGGAGGGAAAAGCGAGAAATTACCACGGTAATACTGTTTAGAGAAGCGGTGGGGAAGAGTCAGCACAAGAAAGGAGGAAAGGAGGAGGACCTTCGAGGACGACGAGATGAGGACGAGGAAGACGAGGCAAAGGACGGGAGGAGAGGGGAGGGGAAAGTGAGGTTAGTGGGAAAGGGTGGCCAGAGAGGGAGAGAGAGAGAGAGAGAGAGAGAGGGGGAGCGTCCTGGGGGGAGTGCGAGTGGGAAAGTTGGAGTGACAAGTATGCTTCGTGGTTTTGTCCGAGTCGTCTGAGTGGGTCGGTTGGGTTGACAATGAAGGGAGGGAAATAGGGAGGGCTGGGGGGGGAGGGGGCGATCTCGGACTTTTTTTTCTCGGTGTCTGTCTGTTTGTTTAGATCGCGGTTTGGTTCGACTGTGTTTGTTGTGGCGAATCTTTGAAAAGATCCGCGACGAGGATTAGGAGCTTATGAATTGGATCGAGGAGAAGTGGACCAGTTCCTTTTGATCGGCGAATCCACAAGAACGAGAAGTGTGCACTACAGAGGAGGGAGCGGGGAGGGGGAGGGGGAGGGCTCTGGCTGTCTGCGGGCGGAGAAGTGGAAAGGAGGAGGATGGTGGTAGAGCGACGAAGACTATGAGAATTGAGGAGAATGCTAACGACTACATCCTATAATGCACAGCGACTCACCATGACGCGCGGCCGGACCGTCGGATTGTTGCAGGCCTTGGGCGGCCATTGCTCCTTACTATGTTTCTCTGGGTTGCTGATTGCGAAGCTTGAAGATTATTTGAAGGTCTCTTGGTGGTGCGTTACCTTCTTATCAGCTCCATCTGTCGGCTAGGCTGGCGCTTGAGATTAACTGTTGATTTCGCTTGTTCCAATTAGTCTGCAAAGCTTTCATGATTGAGCTTTTCAAAGAGATGTTCGTTAACATACGGAAGAGCTGAGAGGGCATCACCGCGAGCGGCAGGCCTCTCTTGATTTCTCTACCTGCTCTTGATTGGTCCTGACCGCTGCCGTCGTTGCGTCGGAAACGTAATTTTCGATTTACGAATACTATTATAACATGAACTGCGTCTGTTCTTGGTATGACTGACGAAGTGACGTTTTCCCATACTGAAACACTAACGAGAAGTACCGACACTCTGCCATCATGTCTTGACGGCAATTACTTGCTATTTCCGTCTCTGCCAGATGTGTTTGAAGTTGCATCGTACCTACGCCTCAACTACTAATCTTGCAATTGAATTCGTTTGGATGAGGAATAGATTCTCTGCATCCTTGTCTTCAGTTGGTTATTGATCAGGAGACTCGAGGCGCTTCGGGTCATCTTATTCCGCACTTCGTTTATTGCCTTTTTCCTGATGAAATTAATTCCGAGGGAAGTCTTTGTGCTTCAAAGGCTTGTCCAGGCTTGTTTTGGAAGGGACGAGATTAGTTATTGTTGGCATTTGATGTGCTTGTCAGGATCACTTTTGTCTACACTTGTGCACCAATACAGGGTCCCAAGCTTTGCGTGGTGTCGGATGTGCCTTTCCGGTTACAAGGTGTTTATGTCAAGATACCCTGACTTATACAAAGCCCAACCAGAAAGAGTTGGGTCTGTCGAAGTCCTACAAGCCGTTCGATTGACAGGCTAGGAGAGGTTTGAAATGGAAGGAGGCACACAGTATTGGTTTTGCCCCACCTGTCTGAGTTAGTTTTTACATACTCGGTACTGATACTGCGTTTCCCGAATACGGAGAACCCCGATAACTAAAGTGTTCATGCGCCGCGTCGATTTGCAGAAAAGTCCGCTTAGATTGACTAGCAGTCGAATTAAGACGAGTCAAAGAAGTTTAGGGCTATAAGCTAATTCTTGGAACGGACTTTATTAGGTTTCTTGGTTTCGACTATGATGATATCTACCCTCGCGAGAGCACGCACAAGTTTGTTATTGACTGTGGATGCGCAGTATTCAGAGCATCTAAGTTCTAGACTACGTGGAGATGCTATTGAATTGGAAAGCAGTACTGAGGAGAGTATACCTCGGCAGGTTCTGATGTTGCAGCATGCTATTCGCTGTTTGCGCTTACCAGTTTCGATACAATTTAGCTGATGTCGTTATGGTACAGGTATGTCTTCGTGCCCCTGTGGATATTTCATGCAGTCGTTGCAAGAGGGCGCTTTTCCCTCCCGGCACCAGCACCTCCCCACGATCGTCAGGTGACGTGGTTACTAATATTCGAAGCTCTATGAGATCAATGTGGAGAAATTAGTACGCCATTGCTGGCCGTCTGTAGAAACTAGCAGCAGACGTGTGCCTCACTCTACTAGAATTAGGCATGCAATGTATGGTGAATGTATGTGCTTTTTTTTTGTATCAACCTTGTGAGTTTACAGTATGTGCTATGTGGTCTGAGTAGGACTGTCATATGCGGGATATCTGGACATCCTGAAGTGAGGTCTCTATGCATATGGGGATACTGAATCAAAACTGTTGTATCTCTGATGTGTAGTGGGCCCCATGTCACACAGTGGTTGCGGTTCCACTGTTGGTTTCTTTTGAGCTCCTTCTTTGCTGCTACCTTGCGACGCTTGAAGGTTAGTAGACATCACCGAAGTATTTTCCGTAGTACTGAAGAGTTCTTCCACTAGATTGGTCATGGGGAGCATTGCAAGCTGGGGACAAGCGTATAATCAGTTTGACTGGTCCATAGTAGGTGACGTTTCCTGCAGTGATATCAATACAAGTCTGGGAGTCTACTGGGAATGTTACCCTGATACTTACTGAGCTGATGTAGGTAGTAGATTCAGTTGAATGGTATGTCTAGATATGCAGTTGTTTGACTGTCCCCCACAGAGTTATTGGGCCAGGGTTTTTCACATATTAGGACTTTGATTGAAGATGGGTCTACCGAATTTAAAACACGGTATCCGAATGAAGTTAAGTCATACCAAATTGACGTGTGCAGCTAGTCACACAGAAGTCGTAAGCTTGAAGGTCGTCTTTCTTCCGCTGCTGGTTTTTCAGGCTATAATCCTTATTGATAATTTCAGGTCGGCCCACAATTTCCTCTATATTGTCTATTTCACAATTAGGACTCTTTTGCGTTCTTCAGTTGAAGTCTTGCAGAGTTGTATATCTAATTGCAGTGGATTCGAGTAGCCGTCAACCCTTAAAAATTCTAAACATTGTGAATTGCAGGATGTGCAGGGCCCTTATGCCTGGTGATGAAGAGAGCATGACAGATGAGGCTATATGGGAAACACTCCCGGTAACTACCATTCTTGCTCTGTAACTTAGTTGTTCTTTAGATTGAAGGTATTTTATCAAATGTAATGACTTTATACCAGTGTGATAAAGAACTTGCGAGCACAGTGGAGCGTTGGGCATCGCACAGCCGACTGGGATGAATTTTAGTAGATTAGGGTAGCTCACGTCATAGCATTTCACGTAGATTCAAAATCAAATTTTATGTCGTAATACGTAAGGCTTCCGTTAGCTTGTCGTGCTAGAGCGTGCAGTGTAGCAGTGTTGTAAGTGAAACCTCAATTTAGTCGAAAACTAAGTTGTTTTGTTCTGACTTCGGAATTTCGTGTGCAGCACTTTTGGGTAGCTGTTTCTATGGTGTTTTTCTTGGCAGCCACAATGTTTACTCTCCTGAAGCTTAGCGGTAATGAGTCTCACTTCTACCCTGTAGCTTCTGTCCTCCGCATGGTTTTGTCGCCTCCAAAACAGCCTATTTGAGTATTCATAATGGGGCTGAAGGTCGTCTGATTTCTAGGACTTCTGTCTGTGCAGGAGACGTCGGTGCCCTTGGATGGTGGGATTTGTTCATCAACTTTGGGTATGTTGATCGATTAACCACTTAGTAATGTCCAAAATTGGACCTGGTTGTAATCAATACTAAGATCCTGATTTTTCATGTGGTATTGACATCCGTGTATTGCCTGTGCTATAACATGTATGTTTCAAGCCTTTGTACTGGTTGTAACTTCTTTCTCGAAACCTGACAGTATTGCAGAGTGCTTCTCGTTCCTCGTCTGCACTAAATGGTCAAACCCAACTATACAAAGAGATGCTGTCTTTCATGCCGGATCTGGTGGACATTCATCCGTATCTCCGCTTATTTCTATGTCGTCAGTTATACATGACGCTGCCCATGGCAGTTCCTCTGCAAATGATGAGGATGACGGGAGCGATGGTATGTGCGGAAGGCAGGAAATTGGCGGTCATCTCCTCAAAATTCCGGTCTTGGTATTCCAGGTTCTGCTCTGTATGCGGCTTGAGGTATGATGGGAAAGTTTTTGGTTCTGTTCATAAGGGTTTGTTGAACAAAAATGCATTTGGATTTTATGTAGGTTGTGGCTCCGGATATGAATTTCCTGTATTCGAATCGCGATTTAGAAATGGGAGTACTGACTGTAAGTGGCATACTCTATTGTAGGGCACGCCAGCCAAGGCTAAACATCTACCAGTGACTGTTATCTTTGCACCTTTGCTCGTCGTGCAAGTACTGGCTTGTATATTCGCCACGATCCGATTGTTTGAGCAATTTTGGTTGATGCTGAGATTGGGTGACAACCATACCAACCCAATGGCAGTATTTTCGAGGCTTAACGATTGTTGTGGCTTCCTTCACCATGGCTCTAGGTACGCAATTTGGGCGTAGGTTCATTTTTCCTCCTTTTCTTCTGCTTCCCACATAGTTAGCTTTTGGAGTACTAGAGTGGTCTATTTTGGAAGGACTATGTATGAACGATAAGTTCACCCTCGTCACAGTTGGAATGAGGTCTGTGATGGATTCTTGTTCCTTCCTCGAGTGACGATGGTCTAGATACTACTTTCACAATGATTATAGAAATTTAAGCGATCAATATAGTGAATCTAGAGAGATACGATTGCTGAACACGATTTCGGTTTTGGACCCGAACCTGCCGATTTCTGCTAGATGCGGATTATGGAACTCATGATGTCATTTTTGTTTCTCTATAGACTTCTGGGTTGGTGGTCTATTGATGAAACCAGTCGGGAAGAGCACGCACGACTTTACAGTTCTGACTCCTCAAGGTACTATTGGTGGTTTTGTCATTCTTCTCTGTTCAGTTGAAGCAGCTTAGAGAACTCAGTGCAAAAAGCTTGCATTTGCTTGAATTTTGAGCATCTAAAGTCAATCTATTCCTATTTTGTTTTGCAGTTACCACACCTTTTCCGGGCCTGCACCAGAGGTAGTGAAGAAAATGGCACGAAAGGACTTGGCGGAAGAGGTATGTGTCGATATTTTCACTACGGTATCGTGAGATTCTCATCATGCTTCTCGAGGAGAACCACTTTTTGCCTTTTTGATAACCGGAGGATTCTGCTTCTTTTGGGGAAAATGGGTGACGCAGAAAATACTTTACGATGGATTGGCAATCATTGTATCATGGTTGTGAATGACAACTATCTGTCTGTAGGTGTGGAGATTGCAAGCAGTATTAGGTGAACAAGCAGAAATTACCAAGCATCAACAGCAGGAATTTGACAGGCTCCAAACTGTAAGTTTCTACTACTTTTGCATTTTTGTTGTGAATCTGTTAGAGTATATAGGCTTACATAGACAAGCTACTGAAAAGAATTGGATAAGGATGTGAACGTTGAGAAGGTAGTACTGGGACTGTTGTCTGGAGCTATGTACTGAGTACATTCTTACCAAGAACTTACTTGCAATTGTTTTACTGACATTTATGTGTGATTCACTTGACGAGTTACTTAAGCACACGTAGTAATTATGTGTATTGCTATGCAGGAAAAGGTTTTGTGCCGGGTTTGTTTTGAAAGGGACATCGCAGTTGTTTTACTTCCTTGTCGACATCGCATTCTCTGCAGGTAACACACACTGACGCAACTGTGCCATGAGAAGGATTTTCCTGATTTCTCTCTTACTTCTTTCAAAGTCTGGTGGAATGCCAAGATTATATAAGTAGCTGCCACAAGCTGGGAAACGAAGTGAGAAAAACTTGATCGTGTCCGAGGTTGTACTATAGCGGGGTCCCTTTTTGTTTTATTGCGGTGAACAGTATATGTACTGACTCAGTGCGTTTTTCTCTATGTTGGATGCAGTTTCTGTTCGGAAAAATGTAAGCAATGCCCTGTTTGTCGGGCGTCAATTGAGCAGAGAATGCCGGTTTACGATGTGTAAATATTTCTAAAGCTAAGGGTACTTTGAGCTGAAGGACTACATCTCTTGCAACGTAAATCCGTGCCCTATCCGCAGGAACGCTAATGTGTCAAGAAATTGCTGTATGATGTTAGAGTAGATGTAAATACGCCTAAGACACATCATAGACTGGTTCCATTATTTGTAGCATCACCGCCACATTGGCCAATATTCTCGTAAATAGTTCCCTTCACTTGAAGTGCTCACATTTCTAAAAGCTTAGTGAAGGTTCAGAATGCAGCAGTAGCCTCGACAATGTGAAAGTCTGGTTGTATCTCTAAAGTGGCATAAGTTTTAAGCTCCTGTAATGAAAGCGTTATTCATTCTGGCCCCAGGAGGCGTTAGGTTTGCAATCTGAGCAGACTTCAACGGAAGGTTTTTGGACGTTTTTGGGTTTTGACCTTCACACTCTCCGCCAAACCTGGTGAATCAGGAGCTTACTCTCTGTACTTGGCTTTGATATTTTTAACCAGTTGGATAGCATTTAAAGAGATGGTGATGGTTCAAATACGTAGACTTAGAAATTACGAAGAACCAGTAGGCGTGCACCAGGTGCACTCAAAGACTTACGTCTCGAAAATAGAAGGCAATCTTTGGAAATCGTTTACCAAGTTTGGCGCCAACCTTTCAAACGTAAGACGGCTATTGCGAACGTAACACGTTCACCTAATAGAACACAACACGGTGATACGGCAGTCCGCACAAACACAGTAAAACAGTCCGTAGTAACCACACGACGGGCAGCGGAAGTGAATCCTCGCTTGTTATTGGCACCGGATTTTCCCCAATGGCAATTTGATACATCCTAGGTGGCAAAGAAATCGACTTATCTAAACTACCAGACACTTCCGCCTGGAAATCTGGTTTTCCGGAATATATCGACCACGTGTACTTTCGCGCCTTCTTGGGTTACTCTTCCAAGGTTTTTTACTTTCGCGCCTTCTTGGGTTACTCTTCCAAGGTTTTTCACCGTTGCGTTGCAATTAGTAGACATATTTTTCCATTTTCACTCCAAAGGCACTATCGGTAGTGTGGTAGAGGTTATGGAATTGTCTCCAGCTGGCCAACTTACACTTCTCACCGTTGCGTTGCAATTAGTAGAGATATTTTTCCATTTTCACTCCAAAAGCACTACCGGTAGTGTGGTAGAGGTTATGGAATTGTCTCCGGCTGGCCAACTTAGACCTACGAAAACCTGGTTTTCTTATAGCCAGTAGCTTGGTGCCGGCTGCCGTAGTGTGGTAACGCCCTCAAGTGCGAGGATTTAAAACTGTACATTCATTCCAGGTACTCACGGTCCAATAACTGTCCGGACCGAAGCCTGGAAAATTGTATGCTTTGTTCTGGCGGTGAATCTCAGTCTCGAGCAGTAATGATTCACAGAAATTTCTTTAGGGTAAATTCTGATTCGTTTGAGTACAGATTGGCCAAAGCTAAACCATCAATATCGCTATTTTCGGGTGTAAAGCCTAAATCCGAGTACGCTTTCCCTAGTGTGTGTACAGAGGAACAAAGAAAATTAATCTTTTGACGGGACGAAAGTGTACGAATTACACCGAGCACTTTCCAATGTTTCCCAAATCAACGAGAAATCATGAGAATGCTGAAAATGGCTACGTAACTTTCGATATCTACCAAAGTGTGAGAAACAAAATTTGATGTCGGTGTCTTAACCTAAACAACAAACTACCAAATGGGTCTATTATTTCTTCGCGTTTTCTTTCTTTAGTTCCACATATGCTAGCAATGACTAGAATTACATACTTTACGCAATGGAGATCTCTTCTCCAGTATGAGTCTCCTTTGTAAATATGTAACAAAGGGTAAAGATCTAAAATTTGAAAGAAATACTACCAACTTGGGTTGGAGGCACAACCAAAAAGGCATGCCCCTATACAAAATATATACGGGGCATGCCTGTATATATATATATGAATGAATCATGAATAAAAATGTGGAATATAGGGATATATATATATATATATATATTCTAGAGTTATAGACAATGGAATAAATAACGAAATAAAATTGTTGAAAATTGACCGTGGTTTGGTTGCCTAAGCCGGGCTTACAACGTCTTTGACAAGTTTTTGAAACAAAATTCATCGAACAAACTTTGCGAAATCTTATTCTAAAAAAATAACAGATTTTTGGATACAAATTTTACTCTTGAATTCACGTTGAAATTGGTTCTTTCATGAACGTAGACTTGCATTCAACTATTTTACAAAGTAGGTAATGTGGTTCTAACGGTTTAGTCCAAACTGAGCTTCATAAATACATAGAAATTTTAGAAAACTTGGAAGTGCAATTACGAGATGTCAAGAAGCGGATTGTTTGATATCTGATGCTTTTAACAAAGTATACCCCGAAGAAGTTGGATACTCTTGTGAACTACTTTATGGAATGAGGCGTACATTAAGAGCTATTGATACAGCGCTGATTAGAAGATCATTATTGCTGGACAACGACTTGGAGAAAGATCTGTTGCCTATAGGCAATTATCTCAAAAGCCTGCACGTAATTCTAGATGACATTCACAAGACTCTCAATTCTTTTGCTACGATTAGTGCTCATCATATGTACATGGTTCTATTTTTTTACAATAAGTTCTTTTATGTGCATTCCTTATTCGCAAAATACATTCTATGTATAATTATGTATCTGAAACATCCAAAAATATAGAAACTTTCGGAGTATGCTCATAGAAACTTTGTGTCTGCTTATCAAATGTACATGCTGATTTAACTATCATGACAAATTTGTTAGCGTTAATGATTTTTAATTCACGTCATATCTTATATTTCAATCTATATTCGTATTTCATACCAAGAAAGAGACAAATCGAGTTTCCAGTAAAATAGACAAGACTGTGGAGAAAGTTGAGTGATAAACAAAATCTGGTAACTTGTAATCTGTTCACCCTCTATCTGCACATACTACACACTTTTCTTCACAAAACAAAGCTAACTTGGGCTCTTAAGACATACCAAGAAAGAAACAAATCGAATTTCCAGTAAAATAGACAAGACTGTGGAGAAAGTTGAGTGATGAACAAAATCTGGTAACTTCTAATCTGTTCAACCTCTATCTTCACGTACTACACACTTTTCTTCACAAAAAAAAGCTAATTTGGGCTCTTAAGACATGCTCAAGGTATGTCAATGCTACTTGACTTGCAATCTCTTATATCTCCATTGTTAGACTCCAGAAGGATACGGAGGGAGTAACTCATCAGAGAGCATTGATAACATTGATAGACAAGTGTCCAATGTTCCTTGATGGAAGTAAATCTAGGTTGTATTGTCACAGTTGAGACTAATGAAGTTTAATAGAAGGTAAACGATGAACTTCAAATTCTAAGCACCGTGAAGCATCTGAAATAAGCTGTTCTCGTGCTCATCATATGTACATGGTTTTTATTTTCTTACACTAAGTTCTTCTATGTGCATTCTTTATTTGTGGAATACATTCTATGTATTGTAGGAAGTCTCATATGGCTGGTGAAAGTATTTTGATGTACTCTCTTGAAGTGTTTTAGTCCGAGCATGAATAAGCAAATGGATCTTTCTGGGGACTTGTTTGTACAGCGAGTATCTATGTTCACGTCTATTTTGAATATTTTAGTAGTCACGTCGATGAAAGGTATGAAAACTTACTGAGGATGTAATTCTGTGTTATAGGAGTCTTGTCTTTCTAGTTCACATTATGGCAAAAAATCTACAGTGTTAGGACAAGAGAGTATACTTTAAGCTAGCTAAAGTGTTTATCATACCAATCTTTTTATCATAATGTTGATATTGACTATACAGAGACGTACTTAAGCACAAACTAAAAGTCTGTTTTATGTTCCAACACCTTGAATTCATTTTTGCTTCTAGGTCTTAGATGGTGGTTTTCTGTGTCGTGATGAGTTTGGCTCGTATTTGTAGGATCTAGTCTACAATTGCTTCCTTATTCGTAGCTTTTGTTCATGACCTAAACATATCGGCGAGGATTGCTTCTTTCACGAGTGATGTCGTTTTTTAAGAAATCTGTATCACAGAAATTAGTCAATCAGAAGTCTTATTGACTAATGTCCATCAAGAGTCTTTACAAGTTTACAGTGTTTTCTTCTTCGTTTTTTGTCCGGTACAGTTAAATGAATTCTCTAATCTAGTATAAATATCTAGCTTCAATATACAAAAAATTGATTGCCTTTACTTTGACTTTCATACTTCAATGTTTGGTCACATGATAGCTATATTTAAAACTTTTGAGTGTGGAGTTGTTGTAGAAGATCTTTACATAGATTTCAACACCATTGAAACAAGTTGTGCAATTCTTTTAGTTTAAAACCAAGGTAGCAGAGAGAAGCATCGTTCAATAAATTCCAAAAAGAACTCTTATACTCCATCATTGATTGTGAATTCATTGTCCCTTGAAGTGGAAGTTGAAAGCGAAGCAGCAACAATCTCATCATCATCACAACCAATGTCTAGACTTGAAATAGAGATATTACAAGGATGAAAAGAAGCATATGAGGTGATAAATCCAAGATGTCATTATTTTTATTGTTCATTTGAATTGGAAATCGCTACTTTGCAATGTGTGAACATTGTAGAGAGTTGCATGATGGCAAGCTTGATAAGTTGGAACATCATGTTTTGCGTCGATGTACTTTGAATTTCAAAAGTATTGAATATATGCGTATCGTCAAAAGATCTTCAAAGAGGCAACAAAAGTGTTTGTTGGAACTTGAAGATCAATTCAAGGACGTCAGCGATGTGACGCTAACAATCAAAGGATGGGAAGATGTTTCGAACAACTTGATATACTTTATGATTGTCATTACCAGCACTAGACAATGGATCTTGGATATAGTACATTTTACAAGTAGGCCGACAGCAAATGCATTGCTACAACAATTGATACTGTCAACTTACAAAAATCTTCATCGGTTGACAGCAATTGTTGACATTATTTCCATTATTGCCAAAGTTTTCATTATTGGATTACACAATTCGAAACATGGGGTCAAAAAAACAAAATTCTGACGTTTTTATCAAGTTTCAGTGAAACACGATAGTATTCAGTCGTGTTTGTATATATTGGTGTTGCATCATATCACAAAGGTCTTCAACACTACGTGGACAAGTCAAAGCTAGCCAACGAACTATCAATCAACAAGGATATTTTTAATTTGATGAATGACGATTATCACTTTGCAATCAATAAGAAAATTAGCAAGCTCATCAAGCCGATCGTCGACAGAATAGCTCGTCTTGAGCAAAGTTTCATAACATTAGATCAAGTCTTTGCCGAGCTGATCAATTTGTACATAACAGTGAAGGACGTGAACGTTACCGAGA